GCAGTAACCTTATTAAGGGAATCCTTATTTACGGACCCAAATGCGCATGCGTAGATGTCAAAATAAAGCTAATTTAAATACTGCTTGTCGTTATTGCACGTCCAATAACTAGAGTTTTCATACGTCCGGATTTACCCGGACATGTTTGGGTTTTTAGGGTGTCCGGGGAAGTCCGGCCGGAATTCGGAACAGTGTCCGGAAAACTATCGGAGATACCCAAGGATGATACACACTACTACTACAGGATGGCCTATCCTCATATGGCCTGTGTGTAACAAACGAGTACCAAATTCCCCCTCGCCCAAATACCAGTTGTGACGTAGTAGCATGTTATTTCTCGCCTTGACGTAAGCTTTTTAAACAGCTGATGACGTCGGAAATGGTTTCACACCAATATGTCGGCAACTACCCAAAACAAGTCCGATAAGCACTCCTTAAGAGTGTGTATTCTCCTTGGGAGATACCTACCAAAAATTCGAAATTTTAATTTTGTATCCTGGGGTGGCAAGTAAATTTTATCCTGTATCCAATTATTCGGTTGCCATTTTGATACAAGGAGAAATAGGAGAATACACACTCTAAGGCCGGGGTTACCCAATTCCTTAATTCTTAATTTTGGTTCCTAATTCTTAATCCTTAAAAACACCAATGTTAAATAAATTGAACTTTTTAAGAATTAAGAATTAAGGACGAATATTAAGAATTAAGGAGTTGGGTAACTCTGGCCTAAGTCGTCAGCTATTTAAACAGAAACAGCCTACGTCAAGGCGAGAAACGCCATGCTGCTAACGTCACAACTAATTGTTTGGCTTGGAGAGGTAGGGGGGGATTTGTTACACACAAGCCTTATGAGGATAGGCCTTCCTGTAGTAGTAGTGTGTATCATCCCTGATTTTGATACACAAGTGTTATATTTTTGTCTCTTGTCATTGGTAACTTGTAGTATTTGTCATTATGTCTTCAGTATAACGGAAAAAATGCTCAAAGCATATCTATTAATTTCTGTAAAATTTTTTTTTTGCAAAAAATAAACAAAATTCATCCTTTATAAAAATTTTATCGACGAAGTCCGGATTTTGTCCGGATTTCTTGACTCCTAGGTCCTGGATTCCGAAAAACCTTTATGGAAACCCTACCAATAACTCTCTAATGGTTTTCGAGTTTCCCCAGTATTAGGTATGACATTTGACATTTAACTACGGGATCACCAGGCTGATGCAAGGAGAATACACACTCTAAGGAGTGCTTATTGGCCACGTTTTCGATAATCACCGTCATATTGGTTTTTAACTATATCAACCATTGCCGACGTCATAACTAAGTCGTCAGCTGTTTAAACAGCCTACGTCAAGGCGAGAAACGCCATACTGCTTACGTCACAACTGGTTATTTGGCGTGGACGGGTAGGGGGGGATTTGTTACACACAGGCCTTATGAGGATAAGCCATCCTGTAGTAGTAGTGTGTATCATCCTTGAGGCGGATCGTCACCAAAAGTATCTGGGACACAAATAATGCATAATAATCTCCTGGACTAATTCTACTGTCACTCATTTCAATGCATTTCATTCATAGTTTGACAAATATTTGACAATAAAATTCATATAATAGGATAAGAGCTAATATGATGCTGTCCCAGTTACTTTTGGTGACGATGGTACATTGTCTTTTTTCAATCGTGTTCATTGGAAAAAGATTAATAACAAACAGCTGTTGCAAGCCAAGGAAAATACACAATACACACTCTAACGCCTCATCCTGATTTGCGCGAAATTCGCTCTTTTTTGACATTCCCTGCGTTTTTATTCTCATCAAATTTTACCAATGGATCCACCATTCTATGTCAGTCATTGTCATTCTCCATTCACTAAACGAAAATAGCTAATTCGTCGGTGAAGTCGCCGATTAGAATAAAAACGAGGGGATATCTTCGACAATTTGACGTTTTATGCGTGTATCAAACGTCAATTTGTCGATGCAATGTTGAAAATACGCGAATTTCGCGCAAGTGTGAATGGGGCATAATGAGTGCTTATCTGCCTCGTTTTTGGTAATCGCCGCCATATTGGTGTTATACCATTTCCGACGTCATAACTAAGTCGTCAGCTGTTTAAACAGACGTGTGGAATAGGCCATCCTGTAGTACCAGAGTAGCAGTGAGTGTGTATCATCCTTTCATGGATTCAGCGTTTCTAAAATGGCATCTTGACAATCTTGACACGTGACGTGAAATACATAATTCTTTTCTAGAAAGTTGGGCACTTGGTCTTTGCTATGCCACGAGTTATGACATGGCTCTCGTGGACTCGTGCTGTGACGAATTTAATTTAATTTTTTCGTTTAATAAATACCAAAAATGCCCACAAAATGCTCACATCTTGCCAATGCTCCCATTTTTACTCCCAGATCTATGAAATGCTCACAAATGTGAGCAAATGCTCACACATTGGTAACACTGAATCTTCTACCATAGCTCCAAATAATTTAGGCGCATGCGCGCGAAACTACCGTTGTTTGTTCTTTTTAAATACTTCTCCTCAGCCCATCTAGTCACTGTGATGATATCAAAGTGGTAGGAGATTCTGCGTCGCTCTGAGCAACAGGCAAGTACGAATCTTTTTTATCAAGTGTTTTAAAAATTTGTGTTATATTTAAATGAGTAATAATTCTGGGTATTTGGGTACAGTTGTATGCTTAGTACTGTTTATATCAGTTGTGAACTATGTTCTTGTGTCTTTAGTAGTATTAGTTTTTTTTGTATAGATTTTTTTTCAAAATAACCGTCATTGGGTCACAGTGAATCGTTCTGTTTTGGGGTTCAGTGGATCAGTGATCCAATGTAACCCACAATGATCCACTGTGACCCGCTAAGCTATAACTTAACTTATACTTACTTTTTAATAGGTCAAAATGCCTCGCAACAGGAAAAGAGAAACTACGGACACTACTACACCGAACAACAAATGCAAAACGCTCTAAGACTTATATATCGGGCATGGTCAGAAAATAAGGGCTGTTGCAAGAACCAATCATATCCCATACACAATTTTAAACAGGTATTACAAGAAGATTCGGAATAACCCTGATCCTGAAAAAATAATTAGGCTTGCACCTAATTACGCAGTTCGTAAGATATTCACAGATGCGCAAAAAAAGAGTACGACGGTTCAGAAATCTGCCAAAGTGCTAGCTGTCAAAGGACAAAAGCAAGTCTCCAAGGTTTCCAGCGCAGAACGAGGGACCTAAGTAACAACTTGTTACATAATTGGAGCTTTGCGCTAAGTGGAATGCATTGCCACCGATAATGATAATATTTCCTAGAGTGCATTTCCATTTCAAGCAACATATGATCGCGGACGCTCCGGCTGGAACCTTAGGCGCTTAGGCCTAGCTTCGCAGTCAGCTGGCTGGATGAAATCAGAATCTTTGCTAAGTTTTTTTAAGACCTACTGTCTTCTGGTAGAAATAAATGAGTTATAGTATGAAAACAATAATCTTTTGCTGTATTTATTTCCATAGAGCCAGTGTGCCCCAGTTGATTCACTGTTCCCCGTGCGCTGATCTAAACTGACCCACTCCTGGGCCACATTGGATCTTTTACGAACTTTTATTCCAAAGGCTATATGTTGAAAATTTATGTTACATTCGCCATCAAATTACTTTTTCTGTTAAGTCTTACAAACTCTTCCTACAACTAATTTGAGAAAACAGTGATTTAGCGATAAATTTTGGAACTGTATGAGTTAGAACAAAAAATGATCCACTGTTACCCACTCTCCTACGCGCTGATTTCAGAAGTAGGTACCTACTTATAATTGAAAAGTGTTGCAGATCTATTATGGCACATCTAGGCTATATAATACCGCCAATTATACCTAAACTTTTTGTTAAAATTAAAATATACTTTATTTTTCCCACCATTTAAGATCTCGTCGATCTCGATACTTATTCGCGAATTTGTAAGTAACACCCTGTGACCTGTAACACCTTATATTTTCAGCGATTCTTATTCCAGTAGAGGACTGCAATTCCTGAAAATTTCAGCTCATTTGGACTTAAAGTTCCCGAGATCAAATCGTGTTAAGCAATTTGGGGGGTGATTTATTGATTTTTCAATTTTTCTGAGTGCCTTTTTTCATAGATGCCGGCTTCAAATCTGAGAATAATTTAGTGTATGAAGTTTGGGGGATCCCAAATGACCATTGAGACACAAAATCTCAACAAAAAAAATTTGAAATTTCATCGTTTTAATAAGGAGGTATACTAGGTAGCTACCTTATGATTTTAGCTTTTGGAAAAACTTTGAAAGGTCATAACTTTTTTTCTATTAAAGATAGAAAGCTGATATTTTCAGCGATTCTTATTCCAGTAGAGGAGTACAATCCCTGAACATTTCAGCTCATTTGGACTGACAGTTTTAGAAATATAGAAAAAATCAATTTTTCTGAGTGTCTTTTTTCATACACTCTGGCTCCAAATCTCAGAATAATTTAGTGTATGGAGTTTGGGGGATCCCAAAGGACCATTAGCACACAAAATCTCGACAATTTTTTTTTTGGAAATTTCATCGTTTAATTAGTAAGAAGGTAGCATCAATGCACGGCTGCCAGATCGTTTCCAAAAACGTCAAGAGCGAGAAAATATTACATTATTATCAAAATATTGTATATTGATATATTTTCCAGCTTATATTATGAATAAATAAATTGGAGCTTTGTTTTTCCAATTTCCATTCGTTTTTGTGATTTACCCTCCGAAGAGAAAAAAATCCCCTAATTTTTGGGAAAAATTCTTCAATCCAACCTGGCAACCCTGTTCAATGAGAACGATAACAGTTTTCCAAAGTTTATGTGGCGCCATCTACCGACCGACTGCAAAACCACTCATAATAGAAGTTTTAAAGTTTTTGATTTTATTTACTCTTTTCAACAATATGGAATAGAAAAGGACATAAATATAATACTATCAACCATGTCAGATCAGTCGGAAAACTAACCTAGAAAAATCAGCTGTGATTAGTGTAAATAAATAAATATTGAAAATAATAAATATAAACAAATAAAAACCTTATTAAAAATGAATGACTGTAGGAAATTGAAGTAACAAAAACCTGGCCTGAAAACCTGTAAGTCCTTTTTCCCAAAATAAACTTTCTCCCACTTTAACAAATTAATTAAAAATGGAATTAGTGCACAATTTTAATTAGGCCACTGACCAAATATGAAATTAGATAGCATATGCAGAACGTGTCTGGCCCAAAAAACAGATTTAAGAACTTTATTCGATGCCTGCCTTCCCAACATGATAATGTCCCTTACTTCAGTACAGGTAAATATTATTTTCTCATTTCGGACAATCCTATATCATAGGGACATAAATTTAAAATGCTCTAAAACCTATTGACATGGTCCAAGTGCCCTTGGATGAGAGCTGGGACCAAGTAAGTTGGTAGCCAGCCTACTCACTTGGATGATAGAACATATCCAATTTGAACTTGGCTTGAGCCAGGTTGACATGGTCCAAGTGCACTTATTGGATCAAACTTGGATTGTATCAAATGTTTATCCAAGTCCAGTTGGATCAATTCTAACATCCAAGTAAATAGGCTGGCAGCCAATTTACTTGGTCCAAGTTTTTATCCAACTGCACTTGGACGATGTCAACCTGGCTTGAAAAATTTAGGGAAACTAGATTTCTGATCATCGATATGATGTACCTATATTCACATAAATGGTTTCTTTACCTTTCAAATAACAGAAATACATGGTTTTTTAAACAATACTTACTAAACAATTGTCCAATTTAGCTGAAAAGAATCCATTTGTATTCTAATGATAATATGATGATATTGAAAACTTACAAACACTAGAAGAGTGTAGAAAAAAATCTTTTATTAGGCTGAAGGCGAGGAGTTAACCACTATATTTACAAATGTTCAATGATTTCCATATTTAGCAATTACTGGATCAATGAATCTCATGTATCCCCATCCTAAAAATTGTGACTGATTGCCAGGGATTTTCAGATATATTTGTATGATTACCAGGTGATTTCCATTTTTTCTGGAGATTCCTATATCATTTCCAATTGATTTCCTTGATGATTTCCTACAATAATTCTATTTCTAGACACCCACATAGATTTTTTTGTAGGTATAAATAGTTGTTGAGCCATAAATACTATTGCGTATCCATACACTACATAATACTGATCCAAAATAATGGATATTTTTGTGATTTATCTGAATCAGAGACATCTTGAGTTAGGGTTTTACTTGACAAACTTATTTCTGATTCAGATTTGCTATCGTCTCTGCTTCTCGCACTGCCTAGTATTTATTCTACTTTCCCCCTTCCCTTTTCAAGTTCCTATTGCCTTAGATTTCCTACTTTTTCTTCTGTGTCTTCCTCCGGGACATTCCCATAGCTCTTAATATTCGATCGACAAACGTCCCTGCTTCTCTAAAAAGAACCAAATTAAAGTTGAGCTCTGAATAATCTCTAAATTGTAGCGAATCGCAATTGCTAAACCCTGATGTGTGAAGAAATTCTGTGTTCCTTTGGAAAGTTTGATTTCGAGAGATGTTTCAAGATTCATGTTTTCATTTTTATGCTCTACAACATTGTCATACAGGACTGTTCTCACAGAAATCACAAAACTGGCAGACTGAATTTCATTGGTACAAAAATAGTCAGAAAACTCGTTGTTGGCGATTTGCACCAATCAAAAACTCTCTGACTGGTTTGTGATTTCTGTGAGAACTGAGAACAAACCTAATCTTCATCTCGTTCTTCTTCTTCAAGTTTTAAACTTTTCATAGTCTCGGGTTCAGTTATTGGCTAAGTTATTGGGAAACTCCTTGGGATATCAAATTTATTTCAAATTGTTTAGCTCTTGTTGCCTAAAACTTAGTCTTAAAGGCCAGTACCAAAGACCAGTACGCTGTATGGTTTGAAATGTTTGATATGCGATTTCTGGGTTAGAATGAGATAATATTCCCAGCGAATGATTCTCAACGATTGCCATTGGATTTCTATGGAATTCCGATGGAGTCCTAGGAGATTCCTAGTGATTTCAAGAGACTCCCAAGTGATTTCCATGTATTCCTGATTGATTACTATGTGATTCTCAAAAAAATTTACAATGATTTCCACTAGTGATTTACTCCTAGAACTAACTACAACTACACATCAAAAAGAAAAAAAAAATACAAACTCTTTCTTAAGTAAACAATTCCTTATTTATTTATCTTACATTAAAACCAATATTACGTTTGTTTCTGCAGTGAATTTTATTGGTTGAAAACAGTTTTCTGACTGTTTTCAACCAATGAAATTCGCTCTGACTGGTTCGTGATTTCTGCAGAAACAGACCTATAAACACATTCAGTCATCCATAGCTGTAATATTAATAAGCAAAGTAAAAGCTTATAATCGAAGTTTAATTTATTGATTTTTGGCTCACTATGAATATCCGTTTATTCAACAATTGACATCGACACCCATAAAGATGTTAAATCCGATTAAAACCTTTTTCCAATTCTATTGTAGATAATCCAAGGTGATGGTTTGCCTCACCAAATATGCACCCAATGCCTCCGTGTCATAAACAAAGCCTTCTGTTTCAAACAAATGGTGGAAAAATCCGACGCCACCCTAAGAAATTACTTGAACAATTTAAGTTTCAACAACGACTTGAACCAACTCTGCGATATACCAGCTCAGCTAAGCATGAGTCAGTTACCAAGCTGTGACAATCCAAATCTAATGAGCAGCTGTAGCATGATGGCCAACAGTAATTTATTGCCAATGAATATCAACCCGATGAATTCTTTGGAAAATAATGCCGATTTTAACGTGATAAGTGACTTTAATGTTATGAACAATAGTAGTTCGTTTTTTCAAGACATATTCAATGATCCAATGGACAATTTTGGTAACAATCAAGCCACAGTTGTTTCGGATTTTGCAGAAACAATGCAAAGCTTACAAACTATAGCTGAACAGTATTTGCCTGAATCTTGGGAGAATGACAATCAAATTTTACCTATAAATACTGAAGAGAGTAGTAGTAATAATTTTAATTTAATTGAAAGTATTTATAAGTGCCAGTTTTGTGGAGAATCATTTAAAGGTAATACCTATTGAAATGTGTCTTGCGTACTTAAGTATTATGATGTTATTTTAGATAGTTGGCTATTAGATGAACATACCAAAAGCCAAGTTTGTCAAGACAAATATTTCAGCTCTAATATCACCAATGAATTAACCAAAAGTATGTTATTGGAGTATACTTTTGATACAAACTCAAAAGATAATTTTACTTTTGAAAATATTGAACCTGATAATCAGAATTTGTTATGTGAGGTAAATGTTTTTTGATAAATGGTTATGGAAATGTTAATATTTTTTTTTTTTTTAGATTTGCGATAGGACGTTTACTAGTGAGAAATTTTTAAAGAAACATAGGAAAGATATTCATTTTATTGATAAAACATCCGTTCAAGAAGAGAAGAAGGATATTTGTAATTTGTGTGGTAAAAGGTTAGTCATTTTTATTTCTAAATAACATTTTTTATACAAGTTCTGTTTGTATTGCAAATTATTAGCAAAAAGAAGATATTTTGCTCTGTTTGACAATCCAGCATTCCATTATTAATTCTTCTAGATACAAAAACTCGAAAATCCTCCTGTTACACATGAGAACTCACACTGGGGAACGACCACTGAAATGCGATATTTGCTCGCGAACTTTTGCTCTACCAAGCAGTTTTCATAAGCACAAGCGTATTCACAAAGAAAAATCGTACGCCTGCAATGTTTGCGGGAAAAAATTCAATCAACAGTCAAACGTCAACAATCACATCGCCACAGTACATTCGGGTAAAAAGCCGCATAATTGTGCCACTTGTGGCAGAAATTTTGCCACCAATACCAACCTAGAGGTTCACAAAAGGATTCACACCGGTGTTAAGCCTTTTGTTTGTACTTTTTGTGATAAAGGATTTATAAGTGAGTATAGGAAGTTGCTAAAGTTTCTATCACTAAACAATATTACTTTATCAGGTAGTAGTCAGCTTAAAAAACACATGATGGTACATACAGGCGAAAAACCATACACTTGTTGGATTTGTGGACAATCTTTCAGGAGAAAAGAAACTAGAGACACTCACGCACGATATCATACAGGCGAGCGACCTTTTAGTTGTAAAATTTGCGAAAAAGCTTACATACATAAATCGCATTTGAGGGTGTGTTATTTTATTATTTATGATGTTGCAAAAATTCTCATTTAATAATTTTTTTTAGAAACACATTAAAACCCAGCACGTCAATGGCCAGGAAAAAAAATTCGAATATTGTATGATTTGCAGCAAAAAGTTTCATTCTGTTACATCGTTGAAGGCTCACATTAGATTGCATACTGGACAAAAGCCTTTCACTTGTAATTTTTGCAATAAATGTTACGTTAATAGAAAAACTTTGAATTTCCACCTTAAACACTGTCATGGACAGTAAAAGGTAAGCACCCAATGACTGAACAATTTAATAATAATTAATGAAAACATTCAATTAGTGTTTTACTTTATTATAATTACACTCCAAATCAAAACCCAATTTACAGCTAATATTTACACTTAAATAATTATTTTACAATTATTGTAAAAAAAAGGGAATGTAATTACATAAATATTTATGATATAATCCTAACATTTTCCAACCAATTTTTTACTGTATTGAAATACTCTTTCATCCATTTTGTGTTTGCTTCTGCTTGCTCTAAAGATTGCTGAGCTGTTCTCACCGCAACCCCAAATTGCTCCTTTTTACGTTCAAAAAAGGACTTAAACTAAAAAAATTTATAAAAAAATACTCCGCATCAAAAATATTAAATAACTTACATCATTAACTTCCTCTTCAGTGTTGAATTTATCAGTAGAACTTCGCACTAAACTGCTCATAAACATTGAAGAAGGCCCCAAACTGAAAATAAATTGTTTGAAAACCCATTCTCACTTGTTGTAAAAATCCTTACTATTCCCTAATCCTGTCCCAATTAATCTTCATAAATCTATAAGCCAAATCGTGTCCGACAGGATTTTCAGACACCGAAGCAAACACTCTAGCAATATCGTGTTTTCTAATGCCACTGTTTTCAGTTAAGGAACGTTCCAAAAACCTACTCAAAATCCATATATCTTTACTACAAGCCAATGAGGTCAAAAGAATTTCCTTGTCAGTAGCCACATTGGTGTTCAAATATCTATTCCAGGCAAATTCCCATTCTTCTTGCCCTCCGTCACTTATTGCCGTACAATAAACAGTTTGACGTAAATCGGGATTAATTCTAAAAATCAATTTATTAATAATCTTTCAATAAAATAATGATAATTGCTTATACAAATTCTCTTTGTCTGGATTGGCGCTGTTTCTCCAATTTTGAAACTGTTGCACCGCTTGCAGGACGCAATCTTTTAGGCCTAATTTACAAGCGTAGTCTATTATTTCCATGCGGTTTAAGACCCTAGTCGGGTCTTCGTTGGAGCTCTCTTTGAATGTTAATTCAATGTAAAAGTCTCTGAGAATTGAGATCAAATAAATCTGGAATATAAATTGTGAGGATATTATTATGAAATTTTCTTCATTTGTATTGTTTTGTAGGTTTAAAATGGCACTTTACTGTATTAGTATAATAATGTTGAAGATTTTCAAAAGAAGATGTCTTACCTTGAACTTATCAAAATACCCGCTCCTAATAAACATTTTATGCAAAAACTGTAAATTTGTAATGGCAGCTTTCCATGGTACATATTCCCTCTCGTTGGTCAAATAAAGAGTTACATTCAAAGCGATATCGTAACTTAGATAGCCAGCAAAAGCCAAATTCATTGCGTCGTCAATCATTTGAGCTCTATTGGTCGATTGGATTAGACGGTGACCGTTTCCTTGCAGTTGATTTATGAGAGATTTCCAATTTTGCTCGTCATAATTTACTCTGTAATATCCATTCTGTTGTACGTTGATTAAATACCAAGGTATTTCAGGCGAAATTGCTTGTTCTACTAGAATTTCTTTTTCTTTTTTCAGCCAAGTTTCGCTTACTGTACCCATACTGTCCATTATAGTGATAGGAACCCACCTGTAAGAAATCTTGTAAGTATTTTTTATTAAAAAATGGATTGTTTACCATAGGCATTGATCAGTTGTTACAGCATTATTTCTATCCAACAAATATCTTTGCTGATTAATTATTAAATCTCCATTTTGTTGTTTGTTGGCTGTAACTACAGGATAACCTGTTTGTAACGTCCAAGTATCCATAATCTCCTTCACAGACACATTATTAGGCAAAGCTTTAATTTCTAAACTTTCTTCAGTCAATGTTTGCCATAAATCATCTTGCTCTGCATTTTTATACATTCTGTTTTTGAGATACTTTTGCAATGCTAAATGAAAAACTTCATCTCCAAGAAACCCTTTCATCATCCTTATAATTGAAGCTCCTTTTGAATACGAAATCCTATCAAAAATATCATTAATTTCATCAGGATTGTTAACCTTCACTGAAATAGGATGCGAAGACTTCAAAGCATCCAAAATCAGCGATTCATGTAGCTCGCTGACCAAAAACAAATCTAAATCTTTCCATTTGGGATTGACCGAATAGGATCCTAAGAACTCTACATAAGTGGCAAAGCCTTCGTTCAACCACAAATCCTCCCACCATGTTGGAGTTACCAAATTACCAAACCATTGATGGGCCAATTCGTGAGCCACTACGTGCGCTATTCTTTGTTTACTGGCTGTACTTGATATACCTTTTTCATATAAAAGTACAGCTTCCCTAAAAATAATTTTGTTATAAAAACTATATAAAACTAGGAAAATTCTTGCCTGTAAGTTATAAGTCCCCAATTTTCCATGGCTCCTTCGGAAAAATCGGGTATAGCTACCATATCGATTTTGGGCAAAGGATAATCGATTCCGAAGAATTTTTCGTAGTACTTCAAGATCATCGGGCCAATTTCGACGGCAAATTTCGCTTGGGACAGGGCACTGGGTCGGGCCCAAACGCTGAAAATTCCGCGGCTGATATTTTGGAAGTCGGAAACGACGAAGGCGACTAAATACGTGGACATCGGAAGACTTTCTTGGAAATGGTCCCAGACATAATCCGGAAGATGTTTTCTGCAAAAAGTGAATGTTGAATGAAAATTTTCCAAATTTTTCTTTCATCAGTTTTGCTAAAACTCTATTGAAGAAGTTCAATATGAAGATTGAATCAAATTTTTCGAATTTGAAGATCTGCAGTTGCGAAACTATTGAAGCTGCATCCAAAACGATAATTAAAGATTTATAGAGAATTCAATCAGCTTCAATTTGAGCCTAATTACATTGAAATCGGATTGAAATTAATGAAGTTGTGGGCTAAAAAGTCCGTTGATGTCGTTTTGAATGAAGTTAAATTGGAAAAAGAATAACATTGAGGCATGGTTTATTTTTTTTCGAGAAAAGTGTTGGATTGATTGGTTTGAAACTTTGCAAATGGATGGAAAAAGGTTTGAAATTTTAGAAAAAAAATCTTCCTGATCGCTCCTCTCAATTTTTCAAATTTGAAGCTTTACAGCTGCAAAACTATCAAAGCTCCAAGGCTGCATTCAAAACGATTGTTGTCTCAGAACTATATTGTTATAGATTTATAGAGAATTTAATTAGCTTCACATTGAGCCTGATTACATTGAAATCGGATTGAAATTACTGAAGTTGTGGGCTAAAAAGTCCGTTGATGTCGTTTTGAATGAAGTTAAATTGGAAAAATAATAACATTGAGGCATGGTTTATTTTTTTCCGAGGAAAGTGTTCAAGGGATTGGATTGAAACTTTACAAATGGATTGAAAAAGGTTTGAAATTCAAGAAAAAAAATCTTCCTGATCGCTCCTCTCAATTTTTCGAATTTGAAGCTCTGCAGCTGCAAAACTATCAAGGCTCCAAGGCTACATTCAAGACGATTGGTATTTCAAGACAATATTGTTATAGATTTATAGAGAATTTAATTAGCTTCACATTGAGCCTGATTACATTGAAATCGGATTGAAATTACTGAAGTTGTGGGCTAAAAAGTCCGTTGATGTCGTTTTGAATGAAGTTAAATTGGAAAAATAATAACATTGAGGCATGGTTTATTTTTTTCCGAGGAAAGTGTTCAATGGATTGGATTGAAACTTTACAAATGGATTGAAAAAGGTTTGAAATTCAAGAAAAAAATCTTCCTGATCGCTCCTCTCAATTCTTCGAATTTGAAGCTTTGCAGCTTGAAAACTATCAAGGCTCCAAGGCTACATTCAAGACGATTGGTATTTCAAGACAATATTGTTATAGATTTATAGAGAATTTAATTAGCTTCACATTGAGCCTGATTACATTGAAATCGGATTGAAATTACTGAAGTTGTGGGCTAAAAAGTCCGTTGATATCGTTTTGAATGAAGTTAAATTGGAAAAAGAATAACATTGAGGCATGGTTCATTTTTTTCCGAGGAAAGTGTTCAATGGATTGGATTGAAACTTTACAAATGGATTGAAAAAGGTTTGAAATTCAAGAAAAAAAATCTTCCTGATCGCTCCTCTCAATTTTTGGAATTTGAAGCTCTGCAGCTGCAAAACTATCAAGGCTCCAAGGCTACATTCAAGACGATTGGTATTTCAAGACAATATTGGTATAGATTTATAGAGAATTTAATTAGCTTCACATTGAGCCTGATTACATTGAAATCGGATTGAAATTACTGAAGTTGTGGGCTAAAAAGTCCGTTGATGTCGTTTTGAATGAAGTTAAATTGGAAAAATAATAACATTGAGGCATGGTTTATTTTTTTCCGAGGAAAGTGTTCAATGGATTGGATTGAAACTTTACAAATGGATTGAAAAAGGTTTGAAATTCAAGAAAAAAATCTTCCTGATCGCTCCTCTCAATTTTTCGAATTTGAAGCTTTGCAGCTTGAAAACTATCAAGGCTCCAAGGCTACATTCAAGACGATTGGTATTTCAAGACAATATTGTTATAGATTTATAGAGAATTTAATTAGCTTCACATTGAGCCTGATTACATTGAAATCGGATTGAAATTACTGAAGTTGTGGGCTAAAAAGTCCGTTGATGTCGTTTTGAATGAAGTTAAATTGGAAAAATAATAACATTGAGGCATGGTTTATTTTTTTCCGAGGAAAGTGTTCAATGGATTGGATTGAAACTTTACAAATGGATTGAAAAAGGTTTGAAATTCAAGAAAAAAAATCTTCCTGATCGCTCCTCTCAATTTTTCGAATTTGAAGCTCTGCAGCTGCAAAACTATCAAGGCTCCAAGGCTACATTCAAGACGATTGGTATTTCAAGACAATATTGTTATAGATTTATAGAGAATTTAATTAGCTTCACATTGAGCCTGATTACATTGAAATCGGATTGAAATTACTGAAGTTGTGGGCTAAAAAGTCCGTTGATGTCGTTTTGAATGAAGTTAAATTGGAAAAATAATAACATTGAGGCATGGTTTATTTTTGTCCGAGGAAAGTGTTCAATGGATTGGATTGAAACTTTACAAATGGATTGAAAAAGGTTTGAAATTCAAGAAAAAAAATTTTCCTGATCGCTCTTCTCAATTTTTCGAATTTGAAGCTTTGCAGCTTGAAAACTATCAAGGCTCCAAGGCTACATTCAAGACGATTGGTATTTCAAGACAATATTCTTATAGATTTATAGAGAATTTAATTAACTTCACATTGAGCCTGATTACATTGAAATCGGATTGAAATTACTGAAGTTGTGGGCTAAAAAGTCCGTTGATGTCGTTTTGAATGAAGTTAAATTGGAAAAATAATAACATTGAGGCATGGTTTATTTTTTTTCCGAGGAAAGTGTTCAATGGATTGGATTGAAACTTTACAAATGGATTGAAAAAGGTTTGAAATTCAAGAAAAAAAATCTTCCTGATCGCTCCTCTCAATTTTTCCAATTTGAAGCTTTGCAGCTTGAAAACTATCAAGGCTCCAAGGCTACATTCAAGACGATTGGTATTTCAAGACAATATTGTTATAGATTTATAGAGAATTTAATTAGCTTCACATTGAGCCTGATGACATTGAAATCGGATTGAAATTACTGAAGTTGTGGGCTAAAAAGTCCGTTGATGTCGTTTTGAATGAAGTTAAATTGGAAAAAGAATAACTTTGAGGCATGGTTTATTTTTTTTCGAGGAAAGTGTTCAATGGATTGGATTGAAATTTTGCAAATAGATTGAAAAAGGTTTGAAATTCAAGAAAAAAAATTTTCCTGATCGCTCCTCTCAATTTTTCGAATTTGAAGCTCTGCAGCTGCAAAACTATCAAGGCTCCAAGGCTACATTCAAGACGATTGTTATTTCAAGACTAAATATAAATTTATAAAGAATTTAATTAGCTTCAATTTGATCCTAATTACATTTGAATCGGATTGAAATTAACGAAGTTGTGAGGCAAAACGTACATTGATGTCATATTTGAAGTCCCAAAAATAACATTGAGGCACGTTTTATTTTTTTTTGAGGAAAATTTTTGATTGATTCGATTGAAACTTTGCAAATGGATGGAAAAAGGCTTGAAATTCAAGAAAAAAATTTATTTTGCTCGCTCATCTGAATTTTTTCAATCAAAACGATTCACCTTCAATTCAAGTATAATTACATCAAAATCGGTTCGAATTTAACAGAATGTTCCAGGCAATTTCAACATGTAACCCCTTTAAAAATCCCTCAATCGGATTGAAAAAATAAATAAATAAAAATTCCCTTACACATCGTCGGTCGTATCGATTCTCGGCATATTCGAAATGGCAGTCATATTTTTCATCCTGGCAATGTTGATTTGGAATTTCGCTTTGAAAGCCGGCTCGTCGAAGCACGGAAATGCTTTTCTAGCGTCGGTGGCTTGGAACTGTGTGGCTGCCAGCCATCTGGAATGAAAATTAATATCGATAAAGTAAACAAAAGATTTTCCCAATCGATGATAATTTCGAATACCTTGTAATGTTATTTTCCACATAACTGCTCCTGTAAAAGCCTTCGAGCATATTGTTAAGGACACCTTTGAATTGGATGTAAACGTAATACTGTTTATTTGCTTGGAGGAATCCGTCCAAATCGATTATTAGAAATTGTCTTTTTGTGTCCATTCTGACATCTTTGACCGAAACACTTTCATTGTTAATGTTCATTACATTGACTGAATCTATCAGTAAACTGTCCGAGTGCAATGTAATGTGATTACTATTTTTTGAAACGTTAATTAAAATTGTTTCTTCTCCGTGAAATGTGAAATTGCCTTCTTGGATAAATGGAATCAAGTTGATTTGATAAGAATGAGGTTTTATGTGTTCGGGTAATCGTATGTTTAGGTTTTCATTTAAAAATTTTCTGGGGATTTTTGGAGTTGTACTAGTGGTTGTAGTAGTAGTCGTTATCAAATTTTCATTACATTTTAAGGGTTCACTTTTTTCTTGGCTTATAATAACTTCACTATTAACATCTGTATCGTTTTTCGATCCACAAGTCGAAGTGAAACTGTAAGTCAATAGTCCAGTAACTATCAGACAAATAAAGAAAATAACTAACAGAATTATCGCTAAAGATTTCGATACTGTTACGAATGTAGTTTTGCCATATTTTGTCGTTACCGTGTCCATCATTGATAGGTTTTCGCTGTGATTGTTGTGAGTCATTTTTGTCTGAAACAGAAAAATATATTATTTGATTATCTTCTGGTCAAAGAACTGACCATTTAATGTCCATTATTTAGCTTAAAATTTGTGTCATTTTCATTAATAAAAATTCGTTCCTCTCAAACTGAGTAATTTTTGACAGATGCCTCAGTCAAATTTGATAGATCGACGTCCAATGAGCTTGTAGAAAAATTTATTCCCGTCAAATTTTATTGTTTTGACGATTAGAAACAATTCAATATCTATTGAGCTTTAAATTTGTCTCAAATTATAAATAAAAATTCGTCCCTCTTGAACTAGGCAATTTTTGACAAATGTCAAAGTTAAATTTGATAGATCGATGTCCAATGAGCTTGTAAAAAAATTGATTGCTGTCAAATGTTATTATTTTGACGATTAGAGACAATTGAATGTCCATTGAGCTTCAAATTTGTGTCATTTACATTAATAAAAATTCGTTCCTCTTAAACTGAGTAATTTTTGACAGCTGTCAAAATCAAATTTGATAGATCGACGTTCAATGAGCTCGTGAAAAAATTAATATGAACGTTCTGTTGTCTCACAGAAATCATGTTTGTTGGCGATTTGCACCAATCAAAAACACTCTGCTTCGCTTGTGATTCCTGTAAGAACAGACTTAAAATGTCTAATTATATTTTGTACAAAGGCCAAGCAAAATTCAGGTCTAGGTTGGGTCAAAATGTCGCAAGAGGATTAATAACGAAGTCGCCCAATAAAATTAGCAATTTAACGATTATCCCGAGAATATTCAAAAACGGGTCGCATCTATAAAATTCCTGGAGCGTAGTAATAAATTCCACTAAAAATAACCTCTCAGTTATTATCGCCTTCGTGCTTTTTAGTTCAGAAAAATTGTCGCAAATAATTAAATTGATCGTGTGTGTAGTCAAGTATTGAATTACACTATAGTGTAGTGGAACTTGAGACGTTTAAAAAAATCAGGAAGGAAATACCTGCATAAGGTTTCAAAAGTTTGAAATTTAATCCACATTCTATTAAAATTGTTACTCATTCGCTTTAAAACACTTTGTTTCATTATTGCTTGGTAAATTGTAAAGTTTTTTGTTGAAATGTGAACGCCCTCACAAGCAATCAAAGTTAATTGAGAATAATTATTATTGGGACTTAAATTGTTATCATTTTTACCAAGAAAATATTAAAGATTTTGTAGAAGATGAGTTGAAATCCAGAGAAAACAATTTCAGAATCAGATATTTCCGTGGAAAATTAATAGAAAGTCTCACTTCAAAGACAATCTTATTAGACCTCCGTATAGGAAGTATAAAAATCAAATATTGTTTAAAAAAAATGCAATGCTACAATGGAAAAGTGAATGCCCTTATTAACAATCATAATTAATTAACCCAAAATTACCATATAAAGTAACTTGACACTATTTATATGTATACAAGAATATCATAGGGGCATACTAGAAAAATGTCCTTTTGTCTTCTATGAAGCTTGAACCACCCGCATATACGGTTTTGATTTTCACTAAAAATAGCACAATAATTATTCTTTTGTGCTAACTAGTTTAGCATTTGAATTATTTACCTTGAATCCTGTATGTCTATTATTTCCTGCAAACTGGTGGTCTCATCAACAATAAAAATTAATCTTTTGAACTCGAAATAGTTTAGAGTTCTTTACAAACACTCCAATTAAACTATTTAAAACCATATGCGTGATAATCGTTAATAATAATTAAGGCCTCTTAACAAATTAATGATTCTTTTGAGAAAATGTTTATTTTAAAACACATGTGATAAATATTTCAAAAATTTGAAAATTTGCAAACTGGAGAAATAAAATAAATGGTCCGAGTATTATTATTGGAAATACAATAAATAAATCGATTCCAGAGGCGCGAGGAGTTATTTTTATTTATTAGCCAATATATTTTCACCAGCTTTAAATAAACAGAAAAAAGCATAATATACAATGGAATCAAAATTTATCGATTTGGGATAGTAATTTGTATTCGGATAAAACAAACTAGAAGTGCTTCTGACGATCAGAAATAAAGTTATGGGTTTTTTCAGCTTAAATCAACTTTCTGAGCATCTGAAAAATAGTTCAAGGAATCAGAGCGGTTCCAAATTTCCAGGATTTATCAATTGGAATATTTTTATCGGATATAAAAAATATCAAGTTGATATGAGGCTCAGAAATAAAATTATGATTTTTTTTATCACATAAATACTGAAAAAACTTGAGATATCGGTTTCAAACCTGTTTTTTCTTGAAGAGCATCCAATTCTGATTCGAAACTGTTTATTTTAGTAAAAAATTTGAGAAATATTCATTGAGCTTAGAGTGATTTTGTGTATACACACGTGTGCCTTTTGGTTTAAAAAATGCCCCTGCCACATACACTTTGAAGTTTCATATTTTGAAAACCGCTCGAGATATCGGTTTCAAACCTGTTCTAACTTGAGGAGCATTCAATCCTGATTCGAAACTGTTTATTTTAGTATAAAATTCATTGAGCTAAGTGTGATCTTGTGTGCACACACGTATGCCTTTTGGTTTAAAAAATGCCCCTGCCACATACACTTTGAAGCCTCACATCTTGAAAACTGCTCGAGATATCGGTTTCAAACCTGTTCTATCTTAAAGAGCATTCAATTCTGATTTGAAACTGTTCTTTTTTAGTATAACATTCATTGATCTAAGAAAGAGTGATCTTGTGTGTACAGGGTGCTGCAATTTGGAGTGTTTCAACAGGAAAAATATACTTGCAGACCAAATAGAGGAAAATTGACTTAAATGTCATGGAATCGATTTTCGAGAGACGTCGATTGTCAAAAACCGTATCACGATATCTTCAATGGTACCATTGATACAGGGCGATTTTCGATTTTCCCCTATTATGAAAAATGGCTATAAGTTTTTTATTTATCAATTTTTTTTATTTTTGTAAAAGCATTATAGAGACACTTTTTTGAGCATAATCCAGTGGCGGATTCAGTTCTTTTCTATATCGCTCCGATTTTGAGATATCGACCAAATTCCGATATTTTCAAATGAAACACCCTTTATGTTAATAGCTCATTGGATAGCTCTGTTTTTGCTGATTTCAATGATATAAAGTTCGATAGGTTTATCTCTAACAGTTTTCCAGAAAAAAAAATTATATCTGTTTTTGTCATAAGGACCAATGTGTTAGAAAAGGATTTTATATGTGTAAGGACAATGAGGAAGGTCTAACACATTGTTTCTTATGACATAAACAGATATAATTTTTTTTCTCGAAAACTGTTAGAGATAAACCTATCGACCTTTATATCATTGAAGTCCGCAAAAACAGAGCTATCCAATAAGCTATTAATATATAGGGTGTTTCATTTGAAAATATCGGAATTGGGTCGATATCTCGGAATCGGTGCGATATAGAAAAAAACCGAGTCCGCCACTGGATTGTGCTCAAAAAAGTGTCTCTATAATGCTTTTACAGAAACTGTATTAATGGTACCATCGAAGATATCGCGATACGGTTTTTGACAATCGACGTCTCTCGAAAATCGATTCCATGACATTTAAGTCAATTTTCCTCTATCAGGTCGGGAAGTGTGTTTTTCCTGTTAAAACACTCCAAATTGCAGCACCCTGTACACACGTATGCCTTTTGGTTTAAAAAATGCTCCTGCTCCATACACTTTGAAGCCTCACGTCTTGAAAACCGCTCAGATATCGGTTTCAAACCTGTTCAAACTTGAAGAGGATTCAATTATGATTTGAAACTGTTTATTTTCATATAAAATTCAGTGATCTTGTGTGTATACACATATGCCTTTTGGTTTAAAAATGCCCCTGCCGCATACACTTTGAAGCCTCACGTCTTGAAAGCCGCTTGAGATATCGCTTTCAAACCTGTTCTAACTTGAAGAGCATTCAATCCTGATTTGAAACTGTTTATTTTAGTATAAAATTAATTGATCTAAGAAAGAGTGATCTTGTGTGTATGTACACACGTATGCCTTTTGGTTTGAAAAATACTCCTGCCACATACACTTTGAAGCCTCATATCTTGAGAACCGCTTGAGATATCGGTTTCAAATCTGTTCTATCTTAAAGAGCATTAAATTCTGATTCGAAACTGTTTATTATATATCTTGCGTGTTGGTGCACACGTATACCTTTTGATTTAAAAAATACCCCTGCCACATACACTTTGAAGCCTCATATCTTGAAAACTGCTTGAGATATCGGTTTCAAACTTGTTTTAACTTGAAGAGCATTCAATTCTGATTTGAAACTGTTTATTTCAGTATAAAATTTATCGAGCTAAGAATGATGTTGCGTGTAGGTACACACGTATGCCTTTTGGTTTAAAAAATGCTCCTGCCACATACACTTTGAAGCCTCATATCTTGAGAACCGCTTGAGATATCGGTCTCAAACCTGTTCTATCTTAAAGAGCATTAAATTCTGATTCGAAACTGTTTATTTTAGTGTAAAATTCATTGAGCTGAGAGTGATCTTGCGTGTTGGTACACACGTATGCCTTTTGGTTTGAAAAATACCCCTGCCACATACACTTTGAAGCCTCATATCTTGAAAACTGCTTGAGATATCGGTTTCAAACCTGTTTTAACTTGAAGAGCATTCAATTCTGATTTGAAACTGTTTATTTCAGTATAAAATTCATTGAGCTAAGAGTGATCTTGTGTGTACACACGTATGCCTTTTGGTGTAAAAATCCTGTTGAATCAACTTTGCGAGCTTCTGAAAAATACTTCAGGGACTCAGAGCGATTTCAAACTTTCAGGATGTATCAGTTGGAATATTTTCATTGTATAAAACAAATTTCAAGTTGATCTGAGGCTCAGAAATAAAATTATGATTTTGTTTTTCACATAAATGCTAAATAAATTTGTGAAATTCCTATTGAATTAAGTTTGAAAGCTTCTGAAAAATACTCCAGGGACTTAGAGCGAATTCAAACTTTCAGGATTTATCAGTTGGAATATTTTCATCGAATGAAACAAATTTTAAGGTGGTTTGAGGCTGAGAAATAAGGTTATGTATCCATTAAGACACCAAAGCATCCTCTACCTCGGTAGAAAACACCCAATAACACCGGTCCATGATCAGTCGAGAAGAAAAAGGTGTAAAAGGGATTATCATAGAAAACAGTGCACTCCTGATCAAAACACCCCAGTTAAAGTTATGATTTTGTTTTTCACATAAATACTAAATAAACTTGTAAAATTCCTGTTGAATCAACTTTGAAAGCTTCTGAAAAATACTTCAGGGACTCAGAACGATTTCAAAATTTCAGGATTTTTCAGTTGGAATATTTTCAATAAATTCCAAGTTGATCTAAGGCTCAGAAATAAAGTTATGATTTTATTTTTCACATAAATACTAAATAAACTTGTAAAATTCCTGTTGAATCAACTTTGAGAGCTTCTGAAAAATACTTCAGGGACTCAGAACGATTTCAAAATTTCAGGATTTTTCAGTTGGAATATTTTCAATAAATTCCAAGTTGATCTAAGGCTCAGAAATAAAGTTATGATTTTGTTTCTCACACAAATACTAAATAAACTTGTAAAATTCTTGTTGAATCAACTTCGAAAGCTTCTGAAAAATACTTCAGGGACTCGGAGCGATTTCAAAATTTCAGGATTTTTCAGTTGGAATATTTTCAATAAATTCCAAGTTGATCTAAGGCTCAGAAATAAAGTTATGATTTTATTTTTCACATAAATACTAAATAAACTTGTAAAATTCTTGTTGATTCAACTTCGAAAGCTTCTGAAAAATACTTCAGGGACTCAGAACGATTTTAAAATTTCAGGATTTTTCACTTGGAATATTTTCAATGTATAAAACAAATTTCATGTTGGTCTGAGGCTCAGAAATAAAATTATGATTTTATTTTCCACATAAATACTAAATAAACTTGTAAGATTCCTGTTGAATCAACTTTGAAAGCTTCTGAAAAATACTTCAGGGACTCAGAACGATTTTAAAATTTCAGGATTTTTCACTTGGAATATTTTCAATGTATAAAACAAATTTCATGTTGGTCTGAGGCTCAGAAATAAAGTTATGATTTTGTTTCTCACATAAATACTAAATAAACTTGTAAAATTCCTGTTGAATCAACTTTGAAAGCTTCTGAAAAATACTTCAGGTACTCAAAGCGATTTCAAACTTTCAGGATTTATCAGTTTGAATATTTTCATTGTATAAAACAAATTTCAAGTTGGCCTGGAGGCTCAGAAATAAAGTTATGATTTTGTTTTTCACATAGATACTCAATAAACTTGTAAAATTCCTGTTGAATCAACTCTGAAAGCTTCTGAAAAATACTTCAGGTACTCAGAGCGGTTTCCAAGTTTCAGGATTTTTCAGTTGAAATATTTTCAACAAATTTCGAGTTGATCTGAGGCTTAGAAATAAAATAAAGTTATGATTTTGATTTTCACATAAATACTGAATAAACTTGTAAAATTCCTGTTGAATCAACTTCGAAAGCTTCTGAAAAATACTTCAGGTACTCAGAGCGGTTTCCAAGTTTCAGGATTTTCCAGTTGAAATATTTTCAACAAATTTCGAGTTGATCTGAGGCTCAGAAATAAAGTTATGATTTTGATTTTCACATAAATACTGAATAAACTTGTAAAATTCCTGTTGAATCAACTTTGAAAGCTTCTGAAAATACTCCAGGGACTCAGAGCGATTTCAAACTTTCAGGTTTTATTAGTTATTGGAATATTTTCATTGTATAAAACAAATTTCAAGTTGGCCTGAGGCTCAGAAATACAGTTATGATTTTGTTTTTCACATAGATACTCAATAAACTTGTAAAATTCCTGTTGAATCAACTTTGAAAGCTTCTGAAAAATACTTCAGGGACTCAAAGCGATTGACTTTACATGTATGATTGCAAGTAAAACAAATTTCAAGTTCATCTGAGACTCAGAAATAAAGTTATCATTTTGTTGTTCACAGAAATACTGAATAAACTTGTAAAATTTCTGTTGAATCAACTTTAAAAGCTTCTGAAAAATACTTCAGGAACTCAGGGCGATTTCAAACTTTTAGGATTTATCAGTTGGAATATTTTCATTGTCTAAAACAAATTTCAAGTTGGTCTGAGGCTCAGAAATAAAGCTATAAAACTTGTAAAATTCCTGTTGAATCACTTTTGAAAGCTTCTGAAAAATATTCCAAGAATTCAATGTTTTTCCATATTTAAACTAAAATTGAAAGCGCCATAGAACTTTGTTTGATGGGTGCTTATATTTTCCTATGTTAATTTAAATGAATTTGATTCAAAATTGCATCAACCTTATGCATTGCACCCTCTACATATATGCGGGACTTTGATGTATTACTAATATCAGTGTGGAATATTTGATTTAGAAAGATTTTTGACAATTTCATACTTTCTCCATATGAGAAGCTTTTGGAAGAATAAACCCAAAATTAACTTTTTCTACAAGTGAGTGTTTCTTCTTCTTCTTTTTCCAATGCGTATCTACTAATGGATATTTGCGATAACATTTTCTATTCTATGTGAGTCTTTCATGTCTATGTAATTCTTAGTTTTTGTCTCATAAGTTTAGAATAAATCGATCAAAATACAAATAATGTTAATTTATTAAAAAAAATTCTCAATTAATTCCCAAACCCAAAAAATATAAAACAAAAATAATTCTTACCTGAGGAGTATTTAAAAATTTGCAAAATAAAAACAAATCACAAATAATGTTTTTCAATTCCAGTCATTTTTTCTTCGGAAGACACTTTTTCCCAAATCCAAATTTCCACAAAACTTATCCAAAGCTTTCAAAAATCTAGCTACGCAAACGGTTGAATTTCAACTGATATTCTGACGCGATATCCTATGAAGCCCAAGCTCGATTCTTCCTAGGGGAGAGTTTTCGTATACACTTTCAAACGTTATTATCCTGAAAAAATTTCCGGCAATAATAATGATTTTGATATGAGATTCTGGTAGATTTTGTTTAGTATTTAAGAGTAAGGAAAATTAAGCTGGAAGTTTGTATATCATAAAAGCAATTATTCATTCAGGGACAAAAATATCAAATTTTTTTCTATGAAGTCCTAAATCTCCCTAGTTAAATGTCACATCAGTTTTAACGTTCCCTAAGGAGGGTCCAGGGAATAGTTACCCTCCCCGGACAAATAAGGGAAAAAAATAAAGTTGTTTGGCTCAACAGAACTTTATTAGTCACTCAAAGAAATTTGAGCACTTTTTTCTTCTATACAATTCCTTTATAAATAGATATAAAAGAATACCCATCATCTTGAGCATAAAGAAAGCAGTTGGTAATTCAATAAGAAAGAATTTTGGGATTATTTCAAACACAAACTTTCAGTAACAGTTAGTAACCAGTCACGGTGATTTTTATTCGAATTTAGGGTGAATATGCTAATAAAATTTGCGTGTGCGTGAAAAATCCCCGTAATCTCTGAGTCACATGCTAGTTTTCCCACAAATTAAAAGAAAATTTATTCTTCCTATTATAGGATTTAAAAATTTTAATTATGATTTATTATTTCAAAAGGGTACAAATTAAATATTGTTCCCCTTTATTTCAATTTTTTATAAAAGTTAAATGATTGATGAGTTTTTGTAGATATAATAGGGGCTAAATATTATATACAGGGTGTTTGGCCATAATTTGCAGGTAAATATATCTCGCCGACGAGTTGCGGATTGTTCTGGAGAAATTTCAGCAAATAAAATTTGCTGAAATTTGGTTTTACAGATAAGTATGCGATTTTTTGAAATAAAATTACTGCCTTATTTTCAATGAAACACCCTGTATATTTTTGCCATCGTCAGAAAGCCTGATTTTGATATTACATCGTAAAAATTGCACTTTGTTAATGAGGGGACCTACCATAAACCAGCAAAAAAAATACTTCAAGCAATTAGAGGGACTTCAAACCTTCTGGATTTATTCAGTAAGGTATAAGAACAAACCACAAATAGATATCAGGCTCAGAAATGGAATTATGCAAAAAAATCGAAACAATTATTATAATCGAGCAAAATCTATATGTAACAAAATAATCCCATGAGTCGATTTTTAAGGGTGACAAAAGGTGTCTAGGCTAGACACTAAAAGGGGTGTTTTTCTATTGTAAAGAGGGGTGGGAAAAATCCCCTTGTGTACAACCACTTTTGGGATCAACTATGAACATTGTAATTTCACAAAGACATCATCGCAATATTTCTTCCAAAAATAAACGATTTATACGTTTCGTGTTTCTGTTTAGATTTTAATAATAAATCACCCGAGGATCGAAATAGCGTTTATTCACGATAAATATCCCGTTTTTTTGACGTAATAGAAATTACGTTTCCGCTCTGTCGTTGTATTTTGTTGTTGTGGTCAAGGGCATTTATGTTGTTAGTAGAGCGATGACAAGATGACACCAATTAATTACCTACGTGAGGATAACAAGCAAATTGGCCAATTTTTGCAATAACAGTTAAATCTCGTATAAGTTGGGTTAATAAACCCAAAAAGAAGACTACAAAAATTAATCTTGTTAAATATTTTATTAATTATTTTAACATAATGCACAATTTTTCTTTATGCTGTCTTTGTTTTGATCATTTATTAGTTTGCCTGATCAATCATTATAATAATCACAAAATAGCACTGTTAAAAGGTACTAGAGTATTTACTAAAAAAAAGTCTCAGACAATAAAATTGAGTATTAAAGACAAGCAAGAGGAATGTAAAAAAAATATCACATTAAATAATTCCAAGTTAAAAAAGCCCACCCCCACAATTCGAGAATATTTCAATCACAGAAATGCAATAAACATTGGAAATATTGTTTGTTACATTTAAATATTACAAATTAGTTATATACAATCAATAATTGTCTTTGTGCAAAAACGTTATTTGATATTTTATATCACTCAAAAAATGTTACAATCAAATACAATAAATTGTTACAAATGTTATAATTACTATCATGATATACTGACTCCGATCTGTTCCATTGGTTCCCAGGCAGCTCTGTATAAAAAATTATACTAAACCGCCGTGGGAGTTCTTAAATGTCAGTGGTGCTTGGATTTTTGGGCAAAAATGTCGGCTCGAAGATTTTGCGCAAAGCATATGCCTAGAATCTAAGAAAAAAAATTACAATTAAAACAGCTTATTAATAAATTTTTCAATTGCGCATGCAAACAAACAAACACTTACTTGCAAAAACAATAAAAGAATACTGCACGACATTAATGTAATCATATTTTTTTCGGTCCACTCTTCCACAGCCTCCATACAGCCTTGTTCGTTTATAATTTTCGAAACATCGAAAGCCTGAAATTAAGCGTGTAAAGCATTCAACTATAGGCAAGCAACTACTTTTTTGGATAAGAATAAAGTGAAACGTGCAATAATACAATAATGCACTTTTATGTGTACCTGTAGGACCATGATTCCTACTTTAACGGCAGCAACGGGCACTAAATTACTTTCGATCCATTCTTCACCCGCTCTCAAGCAACCTCTTTCGAAAATGTGCCTTTCTTCTCCTGGCTGCATTAAGTGACAAAATAGATATAGCTCTACATAAATTGCATATCTATGATATTTGAGACCAAAAACTTTCTAACAACTTATTTTTGATTTTTTTAGAACTAATCATCAACTGGAAAGGCTTGAAAATCTTATATTTAGCTCTTCTTGAGCTGAAATTTGAACTAGAGGCATGAAAATTCTATGGGGGTTCTAGAATTGATTCTGGTAGAACTAAAATTGAAGTTGTATGAAATCAAACTATTCCAATTTCTGGCTATTCAGAATGTAGAGTGAAACAAAAAAATTTCATTTCTGACCATTTTAGGATCACTCAAAAAGATCATTTTCGACTCTAGAACATCCCAGAAACGACTTTCCTAAACCTAAAAAAATTGAATAGAGATTCATAAAATTCCAAATTCTGGTTTTTTAATAGAGCTGATAAGTTGAACAATGAAAGTGAACTCCAATTTATTGACTCAGAGCAGTTTGAGAGATTCATTTTTGATTTTTTTAGAACTAAAAATTAACTGGAAAGGCGTCAAAATCAGCTCTTCTAGAACTGAAATTTGATTCTGGGGTGGCTCGAAAAGATCATGTTTGACTCTAGAACAACTAAAAAGGCATTTAAATGATCTAAGATTTAAATCCCACAACCAACTTTCCTAGAGCTGAAAAATTGAGTTAAAATGCATAAAATTCTTATTTCTGGCTCTACCATAGAGCTAAAGTTAAACTAGGAAAGTAAAATCCAAGCTCAAATTTGAACATTCTAGAATTAAAATTGAATCAAAGCAGTTCGAGAGTATCTTTATACATTTTTTTATGAACTGGAAAGGCTTGAAAATCTTATAACAAACTCTTCTCAAACTGAAATTTGAACTGAAGAAGCATAAAAATCCCCCTTTTCAGCTCTGAAATGAAAAAAATCTTATTTCTTATCATTTTCTAGGGTGGCTCAAAAAGATCATATTTGACTCTAGAGTCTAGAACAACTAAAGAAGAATTCAAACCACAGAAATAAAACAGATTTTGGAGAAGTTCTGCTTAATGGAAGACTCCATAAAGATGTAATTTTGATGGAAGAATTTGAATTAGGAAAAATTCATATTTCTAGTGATTGAACTTCAATTATTAGTAGTTATGACTATCGTAGATACCTTGCAAACCTTACATTTTAAATAAACCTATCAAATTCTTAAAAAATAACTTTTAAAATACTCACAAATCCTGGTTTCCGGACATCGTAGCCACATTGCTTGTTTTTAATAATTTCCTGCAAACAAAAGTGCCTCAAATTTTTAAAAAACTACACAAACCTAACCTACATTGGGTTTTCTTTTGCAACAAGAAAAAGGTACTCCGCAGGCCTCCCTGCTGCCTACAACTCGCGACGAACAATTAAAATAGTTATTCCTGTCCCAGTCTTTTGGTCCTTCAATACCGCAACATTGTAACTAAGAAAAATACTTAAATATAAAATATTTTGATAATAATTGACATCTCTAACCCAATCTTCTTGTATCCAATCGATTAGGTTTTGTTGATCGGGGTCCTCTCTGTAGTGAATTATAAAAGTTTGAAATCCTATAGTTGCTTGAGATTTAATCTAAAATTGCATTAATTAGGTAATTCAATTATAATCTATTGACATTAACATACCCAGTCTTTGAATATGAATCCCAATATGCCAGCAGTCATTTCGAAAAGTAAAAGCACAGAAAGGAATATGGCATACTAGAAAATAAATGGTTTTAATTCAGAAATTTTCAGACAAAATATGTAACTTACTGTGGCTAATAAGCATGTATTTTCTCTTAGGGCGCCCACACAACCAGTGAAACCTATTACAAATGTTACTGAACCTAAAATTGCAATACACCAGTTAGTTAATGGTGAATTTTTACAAGTTTTAAATTCTTACCAATACAAATTAATATAAAAGCAGGATCTAGGGCAATGTTGGCCACTTTTCCTAGATTATTGAATATGTCTTTTTCGGACCATGCCCATACTCCTATAGTCAGTATACCTAAACCCAAAAGCTAAGAAAAAATGGTTTATTGTTGAGTCTTAATACAAGAAAATCCTTCTTACCCAAAACAGTACGTTAAACCCGAAAATCATATATTTCAAGCAGCTACTGACTTCTGTAGTTTTGGTTTCTCTTCGCACCTTTCTCACTGTAGGCATATTGGTAATGGCAACAGTCATACCGTCCTAATTCTAAATAATTTCAACCCTTTGTTAATACCAATACCTAAATTCGCAGAATCTCATTGATTTTATCCATATTTATGTTGTTACTGGGGTGCCCTTGGAACAACTAGATTTTCATTTGGGGAATTTTTCGTTCTAAGAATTGTTGATTAATCACCGATAATCGATATTGTGAATAATTAATTAGAAATTATTAATTATTTAATTTAGTTTATTTGAAAAAAATTATTGAAAAAGGCTGACACTCATTTAACCCAAAATACACATATCAGTTGTTTTTGACAATACAATTACAGATTTCTGTAAATAAATTTAATTAATTTTAGCTTATTTAGATTTAATTTGTCTTAAATATTGTTATTAAATAAATAATAATAATAATTAAAAACAAATATATTGGTTTAGTTATTGTAATAATTATTATTATTTGTTTTTTAATAAAAGTTATTTTGTTCTTGGATAGGTGGCGCTAGTGGGCAACCTTGTTACAGTGACTCTATTTCCCACAGTGGCGACAATTGCTGTCTTATTTTTGATTGGTTCTAAAATCCCATATATTTATATTGAAAACGCCGCCATCTTGTTCCCATCTATTGCTTATTTCAAATATGAATATATGGGATTTGGGTGAACATCCATCACAAAACATGGAAAACAACGTATTTGATGGACCTAATAATAGTCATCAAATACGTCGATTTATCAATTTTTTATGAAAGATGTCCATTTAAAACTTATAAATTCATATTTAAAAGTAACAAGAGGTTGGGAACAAAATGGCGGCGGGACCTCTATTGTCGCCACTGTATGTAAAGGTTTATTTAGCCACTGTAAACCTTGTTTGATACAGTCACGGCTAGCAAGTAGGAGTTTGCCTCAAGATGGCGGCCAAAGAGAGAATTTCAATTTATTTAAATCCTACTTATTGGTAAGTTATGAATTAGTTAATAGTTATGCGGAAAGTGATACTTTACCGCACGTATGGGCACCGTGCGTTAGGACAAAATTTTACCTATGATCATCTACATTTCCACGAAGGGATTTTTGACTTTACAGCCTGCACTTGTCGCAAAGTAACTTTACCGCATAGTGTGTTGTAAACTGCTACTTTCTACTTGCAAATAAGTACAGTAAAGTGCAGTTTCCTCATGATTCACTTATTCCGCAAAGTTCTACTTATAGGTTCTAAAATTCCTTATGATTTGGATTTTTAAAAACATTAAAGAATTGTATCTCAAATTCTATTATAGATAGAAAGCTGAAATTTTCAGCGATTTTTATCCTAGTACAGGACTACAATCCTTGAAAATTTCAACTCATTTAAACCTATAGTTTCAGAGATAAAAATCAGGTAGATCTCCATTTGTCATTGATGAAAAGTTGCATTTTCATAATACCTACCTGTTGAAACTGGCTGAATTTACTCTACTGTTGCAGAAGCGTATTTTTGAAACTTAAAATCTTCTAATCTCTTCCACATTTTTACTTCAAGGGATCTTTGAATATCAGTTGATCTTCTGATGTATGCTTTTTCATGCATTTATTAGTACCAACGCCACTGGTGGGAATTTAATAGTTATTTAAACACCAAGTGAGTTAAATGAATATTTATTCATTAGAAGAAAGTTTAACCCACGATCCCTAGTGAGTGAGTTAATTTTCTCCGAATGAATAAACATTGTAACTCACGTGATGTATACAAAATTTTGTGGAAATTTGAAAAATAGAGTACAAGGAAAAATAGGTACTGAGAGTTAAGAATATTCCAAATCACTGAGGAATCAGATTTTTAGTTGGGCAGAGTGACTTAAAATACCGAGAGTGAGTTAAATTTTTTAAAATCATTTAGGTGATAAACGTCTACTTACCTGTATTGTTATGCGTTCAATAATGTCATTTTTAAACGTCAAAATGGGATAATAGTTATTTATGGTACTAGTGTGTTATGTTGGAAATAGGTCACACGAGAAAAATCTATACCACGAGGCCGTCAGGCCGAGTGGTATAATTTCTCAAGTGACTTACAAAACATAACACACGAGTAGCATAGAAAGTTTTATCCAACACCAACTGAGAAATCATAAAACGAGCAGCATACAGGAACTGAAAAAGCTAACAGGTATTTTTTGGGAATGAGTCTTCTTCAACGCAGGATTTATAAATTTTTATTTCCTGATGTTTTGCGCTGACGTTATAAGAGAGTGAGTCATAAACCATAACCCACTAGTGAGTTATCGTTTATAACACACTAATGTGTTATTTGATAGTTTACCTTTCTAAATTGGCTCACACTCTATAACTAGCAGGTGTTGGATAATAGTTATTTATCGTACTAGTGTGTTACGTAAGAAATAATAAGTCATGTGAGATGTCGAGTGACTTAACAAACATAACACACGAGTAGCATACAATGTTTTATCCAACAACTAAGAAATCATAACACACGAGCAGCATACAAGAACTGAAAAAACTAAGGGGTATTTTTTTGGGGTCTTCTTTGAAGCAGGATTTATTTTATTTTATATCCTGAGGTTTTGCGTTGAAGTTATAGGAGACTGAGTGATAAACCATAACTCACTAGTGGGTTATGGTTTGTAACACACTATAGTGTGTTATTTGATAGTATACCTGTCTAAATTGGCACAAATAATGAATCTTATAACCAGCAGGTGTTGGATAATAGTATATTATGCAATGATCAGGTAATGATAGCCATTAATACACGAGCTACCTACAACATGTAGGATACGAAACGAGCCGCAGGCGAGTTTCGTATATAACATGCGAGTGTATTAATGGCCATTACATGAGAGTTGTATACACTATTTTTTCTACTGCCATTGATAAAACTTATGATATTTAGATATGTCAACATTATGCTTAACTTTGAATAGAGATTTCATAATTGAGTAATCCATACAGTTGAAGGTTTCATTTTTTGTTGTAATTCTTCAAAATATACTATCAAAACATTTTCTGAGAAGCAGTAGCGGCTCGTGACTATTTCAAGTGAGGAGGCTAATTACAGTATAGGATTTCATAAAGGAATTCCATTAAGATTTCAATTTCAAAATTCCATATTTTTTTTTTAACTTTACTAAAATTTCTCAAAATTTTACCACTGAAATATCCTGGAATTCCACAAAATTTTCATAAAATTCTTTGGAATTTCATGTAATTTCTTAAACATTTCTCGGAATTCACTAAAATTTTATGAGAATATCCACGTTCATAACCGAAAATTCCTCAAAAGTCCAATGAAACTTCAAGGAATTTTCAAAATTTAATTTATTTTCATAAGAATTTTTCGGAATTTCACTGAAATTCTCTTTTAATAATCAGGAATTTCTGGGAATATTAATGAAGTTTCAAGTAATTTCTTAAAAATTCATCCAAATATATTGAAATTTCATGTTATTACGTGGGAATTTTTCGGAATATCACCGAAATTCCATGTTTTTAGCTGGACATTTCTCGGCATTACTAAAATTCAGTAAAAACTGAAATTTCACGTTGGGAATTTCGGTGTAATTTCATGTAATTGTTTAAAATTCTTCCATGTAATTCATTTAGAATTTCGTGTAATTAATTCGATCGGAATTTCACTGAAATTTCAAGTAATTCGAGAGGAATTAAAATTTAATGTGAATTCTATGGAAACTCCGCAAAAATTTCACATCTAATTCTTTTTTCAAAATAACATAATTATTCTACCAAAATTCCACTAAATTATGGAATTCTGAGATTTTAATAGATTTTGGGAATTCCAAAAGATATTTGGGAATTTTAAAGGAAATATTTTTCAAAAATGTCAATGATTGGGTTTAAAATTAGCTATAAATCGAGATTTGATAAAAACATATGGCAACGTTGCTCATGATACAACAAACGTCAAAAAATTGAAATTTCAAACCTTGAGTTTTTTTGACAATCGATACAAAATGACGTCTTTTTGTTTCAAAGATTACGGCCCGAAGGGCCGGAGTATGAAAAATCAGTTAACAATGAACGGGTTCGTTCGGATAAAACTTTTGTCGCACGACACTTTGGCAATATCGACAAATGTCATCTGTCAAATTTGACACATGTTTGACTTTTTCTCCGCTCTACTATAAAAGCTACGAAAATCAAATCCCGGCGCGACGCTAACTATCGATTTGTGTTAAAAAAATTGACAGCTGTCAACGTCAAAAAAGTTTTTTTTTTTATTTTGCGAATTTCAAGAAAAAAAGTGATAGAAAACGATCCCCGGACCCCAAAAACCTTAAATAAAAAATCCAAAAAAAAAAACTAACGAAAATGACATTCCAAAACCTACTTGATAAAACTAAAGTTTTTCTCACTTACTCCGTTAAAACACTGGAAATTTTTGGTGAAAAATGAAGAAAACTCAAAGCCTCGTACTTTAAATCGGTTTTTCCGACCAGAAAAGCCCTGGAAAAGCGGAAAAATTAAAAAAAAAACCTCTAAAAATGACATTCCAAAGCCTACATAATGAAATTTGAGTTTTTGTCACTTACCCCATTGGAAAACTGGGAATTTTTAGCACAAAATGTAGGAAATTCAAAGCCTCGTATTTCAAATCGGTTTTCTTTACTGAAAACGGCTTGGAAAATCGGAAAATTCGAGGAAAAACTGGATAGAAATGTAAACACGTCAATCAAAAATTACCGACTGTCAAAACTGACAAATGATATTTATTACAAAACCTATTTGACGTTGGTACAAACGGTGTTGCCACATCAAAACTTTTAAAAAAACCATTTTAAATGGGATTTTGTTATTTATGTCATTTTAAAACTGGACATTTTTGCTAGAAAATGAAGAAAACTCAAAGCGTCGTATGTTAAATTGCCTTTTTCCATTAAAAAGCCCCGGAAAAGTGAAAAATTCGAGGAAAAACTGACAAAAAATTACAAGGCGTCACTTCAAAATGGCCAACTAAAAGCAACGTTGCCAAATCTCATTTCGGAAAACAAAAATAACATTTTAAAAAGGTTTTTTGTTTAAAATTCAATTTAATAATTAATTAATAATGATTATAATAATTAAAATTCCCCAAATAATTCATAGGAAACTTGTTTTTAGTTTAATTTTAATGAAAATTTCATCACAAGGTTTCCTTATTGATTATAGTGAGTAAGACAAAGACAATGATAAAGTGGTATATGTTTGCAAAAACCACCGTTTTTTGAAAAAAGTAAAAATCTTAAGAAAACCAACAATAACTCTAGCCCTTCGGGCTCGCGTATAACTCCGGCCCTTCGGGCTCGTATTACTCCGGCCCTTTGGGCTCGAATATAACTCCGGCCCTTCGGGCTCGCATATAACTCGGGCCCTTCGGGCTCGCATATAACACCGGCCCTTCGGGCCGGTATTACTGAGTATGTTGGAAAGTGTAATTTGTTAATTATTATTTTAATTAGAAATCAGGAATAAAAAATTGAGATTTAATTTTCAATTTTTTGGGGGAGGTTTAGCCTCCCCTACCTCCTCTGACGAGCCGCCACTGCTGAGAAGGATGATGTGTTTTTGGTGTTTCCAATCCATAAATTGTCCATATAATTCTTTGTAAATTTTCTTGGACTTGTCCGGTAGTATATTATTACCTGCATTTGTCGCCCTTTCTGTAATTTCTGGACGTGTTAGTGAAAATTCTTTGTTATCGCTCAATATTTCCATAATAATGCCTTCTCCCAAACTTAAGGTATTAGCTTTTAATAACAATTTGAGGTATTTTTGTTTATAAAATTATTGTTTTTCGCTAAATTACCATGGAAAAGCTATAAACAGAGTGCTGCCAACATTCAAAAAAAAAAAAAATCAAATTTTTTTAACTGATGGCGCCATCTATTGACAATGTATAATAATGAAAAAAGTAAAAATTCTTCCTTATCATTCATTATTTCCATAATAATTATTCTTTGTCCCAAACTTTAGGTAACTTTTAAACAATTCGGAGTCTTTCTTATAGTTATCAAAATAATAGCCCTATCTATTTTTACCTGGTATGCGCGCGCAACACGAGGCAATGTCTTTTTATTGGCTAGCTAATACAGGTGTGAGGTGATCGTTTTGCACGCTGGGTATCTCTTTATCCTTGTTCATTGCACTTGGTCTGACAAGAATAAATCTAAAGTTAATATTCAACTTGACAAGTGTCATTCAAAAGTTGTTTGACATTTTCATTGACGAATACGTTGCACAACACGCGATTTTTCTCCTTTCCTTTTTATCCTGTGCAAATAAGAAGGACGGATTGCTATACGTAAGTCCAACATAATTTGGTACATTTTGCCCAGAGATGTGCGTCTACACGTAGACTTTCATTGTCTACTTTACGTGTAGACAATGTAGACTATGTAGACAATGTAGACAACGTGTCAACAATGTAAAATAATATAAATGACGTTTAATTCTAACCTCACACTTTCCTTTTCAAAAATTATTTTTATTTTATTATCGGTTTTCCTCATATTTATAATCAGTGAATGCTGATATCAAAGTGATAGGTATAAGCTACTTAGGTAGTAGTAATTTTGGAACTTTTTTTTAAATTTTCTAAAATAAGTTTATTGTTTACGTCACATGTAGACAATGTGTAGACAAATACCCACGTAAACAATTCGAATTGTATACACGTAGACAATCAATTGTTTACGTTGACATTGTCTACAGGCACATCACTGATTTTGCCTCGTCTTGCGCAATGAGCGTTTTGTGTCATTTTTTATTTAATAAAGTTTTCGTATTATTACGTCTTTGTCTGGTAAAATAGATAGGTCTATTGTTTTATGCAAACTTACCGTTTAAAATGTTTAATATCTTAATAAGTGCTGCCATCTATCAACATTGTATAATATTAAAAATGAGTTTTATAATGAAAATCTGTATCGTAATGAAGTTCATTATGATACAGATTTTAATCGTTTAATAGCGTATTATGAAATGTCAGTAGAAAAAATATAAAATACATATAATGTAATATATTATAGTTTAATTATGTAATTTTTTCTCGTTCTTGACGTTCTTGGAAACGATCTGGCGACCGTGCACTGAAATCCGAACGGCCATTACTGAGTATTTCTTATCTTGAAAAGTAGAGGAAAACTATTCGAACTAAATGCTGTTTTTTTTTACCAAAACTCATCCTGCTTTTGTAGGTAAGTACTTATTTGTTTTCGTACCAGTTTTCATTAGAATTTCACATTTTTCCAAGCGAAAATAGGAAAATTCACATACTACAGGGTGTTACAGATTCGTGACTCGTAATTATTGGAACCTTCGTAACCATTAGACATGAAAGGATCAGTTGAATTGGGGGCAAAGTTACGTAATTTCTTGTTCACCATCTTAGGTAGCATGCTGACGTCAATTTAGAGTCAATTTTCGTCCTCGATGTCATAATTAGTACGTCATATTTTGGTAAGATGACGTCATTTAAACGTCTGAAGTTCGACGTTAATTCATGTTAGTTTAATTAAGGGTTGAAACTAGACGCTCCTTGAGATCTCCTCGGACCATAACGAGGGAGCGACTACTCTCGAAAAATAAGTACCTATACCTACATGTATTGCGGAGATTCTATGATTTCAATCCTATGATTTGCAGGGATTTCGAAGAATGTTTCTGAAAATTTGCGATTTCGGAGGATTGCGAGGCGATTTCAGTGACTGCAGAGACTGCAGGGAGGAAACTAATTTTTGAGATTGCGAGGTGTTTTTTTGGGATTGCAAAGTGATTTCTGGGATTGCAAATATGATTGCAGAACATATTTCATTCGATTTTTTTACTATCTTCTGAATTTTTATGATTCTAATTTCAGTTTTTCATTTATAAATTTATAGATAGGTATCTACAGGGTGACTCATTTTCGATATTTGTTTTTGAGAAAAAAAAATAAAAATTTCGTTTCTCCATAAGAAACAATGAGCTAGAAAGAGATAAGTCATGAAATTAATTATGTGTTGATTATTTATCATTAGGTCTGTTTCTGCAGAAATCACAAACTAGTCAAAGCAAAGGATAACGCACACCTGACATGGGATTTTTGGGCTCTATGGATTTTGCCCATTTTTTAATATGTTGTATTTAGAAGATTTAATTCTGAACAACCTTTAAATGGGACGAAATCTTGTAGTTATTGCGGTCTTTGAGATATGAGCGTTGAAAGATGAACTTTTTTGCGACTTCATAGGTCTGTTCCCACAGGAGTCTCTGACAGTTTGCAAACTGTCAGTAAGCATCGCCCATACATGTTCTCAATGCTGTCGTTACAAGATAAATATGTAACTCAGCTGAGCGATTGTTTTTGACAGGTTGCAAACTGTCGGAAACTCCTGTGGGAACAGACCTTTTGTGTGGAGAGTATACGAGATACTGGTGCTACTGGTGTTTATCAGTCAAAATATTGACAGGTTGACATTTTTCAAGTATTTTCATTAGGGGAGGTAAGTATCGCTTTTGCTTCCACTTAAACTAATAGTCTATTTCCAAGATTTTGACAAGCTGTCATTTCGTTACGGATGAAAATAATGAGACGAAATTCTAGGGGCATAAAGAACTCAATGATACCTTTAAAAAGAGATATGACATGACCGCTATCCCCTATTAAAATTTGTGGGGTTGTTCTCCTCCTAGCTAGGGGGTTGAAGCTACGGGAATAAGAAAAACTGAAAAATAGTTCCCCCTCAAATCAAAAATCGACGTGTCCGAGCGTTTTTCCAGATTCTCATCCCATATCCAATAAATCGGGGTGGACTGTTTTCCCTGGGACACCTGTATATGGTTAAAATCAGGTTAAAGGGGACAAACAAATAGGTGCACAATATATAGGATAGGATGTTGCATTTTAAAAAATATAACTTCACACTGCTGCACTTTTTTGACGTAACCTGTATGCCTAAAACTAACTCAGTTAAAAACTTTTGACAATTTCTCAAAACTTTTGTATTTGACACTTTTGTCAAAAATGTCAAATGAAAAAGTTAGGAGGGGGTTACATTTATAATAGATCACCCTGTACATGTCCAACTTGAATTTTGAAAACTTGATTCAAGTACCAATGATTCTGGAATACGCCCAATATGCCAGGTGTCATAAAGAGCTGCATAATATTTTTCATTGGATAATGACATTACGACTATAAATTTTGCCCTTAGGACCGGTTCATCAGTGGACGGTTATTTTGGTTTAGCTGTTGGTTAACTAATAATTATCATTGGTTATCCAACAGCTAAACTCTTGATAACCGTCCACTGATATCCAGTCCTTAGACGACATTATTTCGTAATTTTTTTTTGACGTAACCAATAAGGGCGAGTATCATAAAACTATTTTGACAGATAACTAAAAGCTAACTTTTGGAATTACTACGTCATTTCAGAAGTTAACTTTCAGTTATTCTGTCAAAATAATTTTATAATTCTCGCTCTAAGACGTTGTATAGAGATAGAGGATTAAAATTTGGTGGGATTGATTTATAGTATACCTAGTCCCAGTCATTTAAAAATTAACTATAGATTGTCTGAAGTCCACAACTGGAAGTACTCAGCCCTAGCCCATTTATTGTTATTGTATCCTTATCTTGAGAACAAAAGGTTTCAGTGCACAAGCCATGTAAAATTTGAACTTCTTTCTGAGTAAAATTCGATAAAGTTGACTGAAACTTCAATGGGATTTGAATAGATGTCCTTTACTTCGATTTCTAAGATTACTTCCACAGCCATGATGGTCTTCCATAACTGTGTTTAAATTTTGTAAAACTTTTTAGAGCCATAATTATTGAGATTTCATTTGCAATAAAATTAAATTTGTGTTCCATTAATTTTAAACTGATTGTCTATCAAGTATAGTAAAGTTGTATTTGTATAAAAATCAAAAAAAGACATCCTTAATTTGAACTAATTCGCAAAATGAGTAACAAAACTTTTTCCTTTTTAGAATGGCTGCAGATTCGAGGAAGTGGTGATGACCATGACGCAGCATTCAAGGAAGATTATTCTTGGTAAGCTAAGATTTATTAATAATTATGGGTTTTACCACAGGGACAAATAACCTTAATTTAAGGATTTTCAACAATCTGACCACACTTTTCAGCTTATATTGTTCTGCCTGGTTTTGGGACATTGCAAATATGTAATTGTTGAATTTGCAGATTTAGAAAGTAATCTTTTCTTAAATTGCCCTTGTTTTGAAATTAATTTAGATCATTAAAAATATCGATCTCACCCCGATTAATATACGTATAGATATCATTATTATTAATAGGCCCTTTTCTTTAAAAAATATACAATAAATTAATTACTCAATTATTATAGAAAAATCCCTGATCTACTAAGCTAAAAATAGTATTCCTCATCTCTGCCCGGTATTTTCTTGAATTAATTAAACCAAATCTCAAAATCCAATAAACTTTCTATATTTACTCAATTCCCATTAAATTAAAAAATACCACGATAATGATTCAGTCATTCACCGATTCCTAGCCATAACAATAGTAAACAGTAGTTTTTCTACGTCACCGATTTGATGTGGTACTACATGGGGGATCCCAATCCCCACCTCGTAACGTAAATCCCCTTTAGATGACGCAAAGAGTTACCTGGTTGCCAAAACGGTACCATTTTATTGTTTAAACTATTGCTGATGTTTAAACATTTGACAACGCTGACGAGCGTTGGCGCTCAAATTCGCAGAGTTGAATAATATTAATAATCTTGCCGGGATTTTCAATTATTTATCGATAGTAGTACCACCAAAATCCGGTGCAGAATGTCGACATTTAATGGTAGTTGTAGTAAAGCTATTGACTGTGATAACATAAAACAAGAAGAAAAAATTGATATTGTTGAAGAGCAATTATTTTTTAAAATTGAATCATTGGATGAAGAAACTAGAAACAAGGAATTTTTTGTAGAATTTTTTAAATCAGTGGAAGTTGTATGTGATATTTGTGGTGACACCAAAGTGCAAAGGGTGATTAAGTTGAACCAGCAAGAACGAGTTATTGGTGCTATTCTTTTGAAGAAAATTTTTAAACTTGGTTTTAAATCACACAAGGTAAGCAACTATAAAATTTTGGGTTCCAGGTACTGAATATTTTAGAATATCGACTAATTGAGTATATTAATATGTATTCAAAGAGTTTTTATAATAATTGTCCAAAATTGAAAAAAATACAATCGATTCCAATAACCGGCAAAACGTGAAGGAAAATTTTCCTTTTCATCTGAAAAAAGTATCGAAATTCGAAAAGGAAAATTTTCCTCCTTTCCTGAAAAATAACGTCATCTAAAAAATGCAAAAAAAATACAATCGTGTTCCAATTACCGAAACGTCAAAATTGTTCTCGGTATTTTGGTCAATAAACCTGGCGAGCTATAATATTAATTGAGTTGCGGCTAATTAATAAATTACCGAGAATTAAAAAACTATTAATAACGCCGCGCTTGATTGTGAATCCCGAATAAAAATTCAAAGTTACTAATTTAGATTTATTTAAAAAGGGAAAAGGGGAAAAACAATTTTATGAAAAAAAAATAAGTTGAACTAAATACATTATAAGGAATAATCGTTATCAAGTGTTTATTTAGTAAGTACATATTAAATATTTGTCGTTACAAATGCCATTGCAGTACATTAAAAACCTACTTGATAATTCATGTCACAATCCATAAATTTTAACAAATGGAAGATGCTTCTCTTGAACTTGATAACTGCAATCCATTTGATTGGTTACTGATTATTTTTTTTTTAAAAATTGTACACACCTTTATTTGAATCTTTGAAGCCATTTTGAAGATTAATTATTTAGTAATAATTGTGCCTCTGATTAATGGACTGCATTAGGTATTTAGGTTTTAATTTTTTAAAATTTCTAATCATTTATTCTGTATACAGTGAGTTTTTGGATATTAAATAGCTTCAAACTGTTCACTACACTTTGGGAAACATGCAAAGTTTGACTTCAAAGTATAGGAAGTTCTTATTTCAAAACTTAATTTTTTTCCAGATATTCCACCGAAAAACCCCAGACCAATCCTGCGGTCGTTGTTTCGTCCACCTAATCTCATTCAAAACCAACTTCAAAGACAAATTTCTGGAATACAAAACCAGAAAAATGCATCCGGCCTCTTACAACCATGGCATCGAATGTCCTTGCGTCGACTGCAAAAACCAATACGGCGACTTGGATTTGATTGTCCGAGGTATCGAAACAAGATCCTCTCCTTTACTACCGTCAACAATAACCACAATGACCAACGAAGAACAACAATTTGATGTTGGCCTACAACAACAACAAGAAAGCTTCCTATACCCTTACAACTATGAAAGTTATTCGGAACAACAAACTTATTCACAAACAAGTTACCAAGTAGAACCTTTACCAACGATGCTCCAAGAATTCGAGCCTCAACCTTCAACTTCACATTACCAACCGCATCATGAGAGTGAAACTCCTAGGAAAAAATCGAAAAAATCTTGTCCCCATTGTAACAAACAATTCAATCACACTGGGGATTATAGGAAGCACTTGAGGAAACATACGAAAGAACGACCATACGCGTGTCCGCAGTGCGACAAAAAGTTTTCGCACACGTCAAATTTGCACAGGCACGAACGGTCGCATAGTGGAGACAGGCCTTTTAAATGTGATTTTTGTAATAAGGAGTTTAATAGGAAGGATAAGTTGGATAGTCATAGGAATAGTAAAGCTTGTATAAGTAAAAGGAGTAATAAATAATGATTAAGTATTATTTCTGAGTGTGTTTTTTTTTTTGTAAATTGTTAATTACGAACATAAATTTCATGAAAAATAATTTCTTCAATTGTATTTCATCTTCTGGTTCTGAATTTGTTTTGAATCATGACAAGGTTAAGAAAAATTGCCCATATTTCCATCAAAATTTGAATAAATCAAGTTAAAGGACACACCTCTTATGAGATTTTGGGATTCGGTCAATTTTCCTGAAAATTTAATATGATGCTCCTCTCAACATTGTGATTAAAAGTGTTCATAGCCACAACTTGTAGATTGTAGATTGCGGGGGAGTCGTTTCGGCTTTTCAGCCGCTTAACACTGCTACCTTTGCAGATATTTTGTACGTGACTCTATATCTTAAGTTGTCTCCAGAAAGCGTAGACTTCTGCCCAAGGTTGCCAGGTCTCATGATTTTTCATGAGATCTCATGATTTGGACACATTTTTCATGATTCCATGATTTTCAATAAAAATCTCATGATTTTTGGCGCAATACGCATACTTCGGTAATTCTATTATTTTCATTTAAAATTCAAACTTTGTGTTTGATATTTTAACATTATCTCATTCAAGCGCTTGCGTAGAATGAATATTTTCTATAATTTATAGGTTTGTTCGCACAGAAATTAAAAATTAGCCACGGCGAATTTCATTGGTTGAAAATAGTCAGAAAACTTGTTCCAACCAATGAAATTCACTCTGACTGGTTCGTGATTTCTGTGTGAAGAGATCTAATATACATAAATCAGAACCAAGAAACAGGTTAAATGCGTTAACTTTATGACGAGTATTATTTAAAAAAATTGACAGAATAACTAAAAGTTAACTTCTGGAATGACGTTACGCCTAATATAGGAAGTAGGTACTCTTTAATATTGTATTTATCCCATTTTGACGTTTAAAAATGACATTATTGCACGCATAAGAGTAAAGGTAAGTAGACGTTTATCACCTCAGTGACTTAAAACTTTTTTAACTCACTCTCGGCATTTTAAGTCACTCTGCCCAACTAAAAGTCTGGGACCTCAGTGATTTAAAATATTTTCAACTCACTCTCGGCATTTTTCCTTGCACTTTATTTTTTGAATTTCCACAAAATGGGATAAAATTTTGTATACATCACGTGAGTTGTGTTTGTCCATTCAAGTCGTCTTATCATTATTTCTCTTCCATTCCATCCAGAACAAAATCAATTGAACCAGTATCAAGTTGAACATAAACATTTGGTTCTTCAAAAACGGATTTATAGGCGATTATTTTAGTTCGATTCCTCGAAAAAAGGCGGAAGTCGAAGTAGACACAGTCATTAGAAAATCCTGTATTTGCTCGAATCGACAAAACAAGAAGCTGTTTTGTCCATCAAGTTTTGATTGGTGTACCGCAAGAAGAAGCAATTTTTTGAGTTTGAATTTTATTGGAGGTAAGGTGGTGCGCAGAATTCATTTGTGTACCTGGCTGGTAAATTGTTAGTTTGAGAGTTGGCCAATTTTGATGAGGTAAATTAGTTATAATTGTATTTTTAAAGCTGGTGCAATTCTATTTTTTTACCTATTATTACATTACCTATTTAACCTATTTTTACATTACCTATTTTTCAATATTACCTTTTTTTTTGCAGGCTTTTGTGAGAGCAATTATTAAAGCCTTTCAATTATTTAATTAATAATGGACGGTGATAATGAGGATGATTTCCAGTCGGAAGAAAATAGGAAAGAGTTAAAACGTTTAATACGTAATCGAGCATCAATTAAACAAAAGTTAACTATTTTTGAAAAATATATTAATACTATTAAAACATCCTCACCTGAGAGGAAACCCGCTTTTAATGATGTAGAGCTTCGATTTAAAGACGGTTCTATGTTATTACAAGATTTTGACAAAGTTCAATTTACAATAGAGTCAATTTGTGAAGAAAAAGATTTAGAAGTTCATTATAAAGAAAGAGAGTGTTTTCAAGAAAAATATTACATTTCCGTGAATTTTTTAACTCAATTTATTCAGCTAAATTATCAATCAGCTCCTACGGATGAATCTACTGCCCCGGTAACACAAATAGCTTCAAGTTCTAGCTTTGATCCTTTACAGAATATCCTGTTGCCTAAATTAAAGCTACCATCTTTTTCAGGCAATTTTGAACAATGGCTTAATTTTAAACATGATTTTATATCAATTATATGTGATAACAAATCTCTAAATGAATCACAAAAGTTTCAGTTCTTGAAAGCATCGTTAGAAAACTATGCTTTTAGGATTATTGAAGGCCTTGAAGGTACGGATAAACCCTTCCAAAGTGCTTGGAAAATTTTATGCGACAAATTCGATAAAAAACAATTTTTATTAGACACACATTTTCAATTACCTTTAAAAATCCCTCATGTAAATAGAGAGAATTTCAGTCAATTTAATTATATTTTGGATCATATAACTAACCATTTAACAGCCATATCGGGTATGAATTTAGGGCCTGATATTTTATATGACTCATTGGTGATATATTTGCTTTCTAATAAACTGGATAAGACTAGCTTGAGGGAGTGGAAAGAGTTAGAATATAATAATGAGTTGCCTAGTCTCGATGAATTTTTGGAGTTTATTAAAAACAAGGTAGACCTTTTGCAATCCCTTGAACAGTCATTTGCTAGTAAATACAGCACTCAGAATAATGGAAATAATAATAAAAATCCAAGAAATCAGTATCAACACCAATCTCAGATACACTTGTCTGTTGGAAATTCATCAGAAAAGGCATGTCGTTCTGTTGTGAAATGTAATTTTTGTACAAAAAATCATACCATTTATAAATGTGATGAATTTTTAGCCTTAACAATTAAAGATCGAATAGACAGTGTAAAACGACTTTGTGAAAATTGCCTTCGTACAGGTCACAATAAAGAAAAATGTGTTCTATTTTCATGTAAATTTTGCAAGTCTAAAAATAGAATTCTTAAACACAATTCTTTATTGCATTATAATATTAGAAATTCCAATAATAATGAAGATATTCAACAAAAAAATGTGCCTGTTGAACCTGAAGAAAAATCGCATATTCATTCATTCATTAATTTACAATCACAAGTTTTGTTATCCACCATTATTTGTCAAGTTCAAGATATACAGGGTAGATTTCATCGATGCAGAGCTTTGCTAGATTGTGGTGCTCAGTCCAATTTGATTTCAGAGAACTTTTATAATAAATTACAATTAAATTGTAAAAGAAGCAATTTATCTATTATTGGGGTTAATCAAGTGGTTTCTAAACTTGAGAAAAAATGCAATGTTTCTTTATTCTCAAATACTTCTAGTTTCAATTGTTCTATTAATTGTTTTGTTGTTCCCATTATAACAGGTAATATTCCTTCGTACCAATTTAACATTGCATTGGTAGCTGGAATATTCCTCAAAAAATTCAATTAGCAGATCCTGATTTTTTCAAAGCAAATAAAGTTGATTTATTGATAGGAGCTAGTATCTTCTGGAATTTAATTTTAGATGGTAAAATTAATTTAGGTAAAAATTTACCTACCTTACAAAATACTTGTTTCGGCTATATTGTAACAGGTATTACCCCAATTGATTTTTGGGGAAATTCTATTTGCAATTTTTCTAAAATTCATATCTCCGAGGACGATCAATTAAAAAAGTTTGAAGAAGAAGTCCAAGTCCCTTCAATATTATCCAGAGATAACATTGATTGTGAAAATCATTTTCAGGAAACTACTTCTAGAAATGGAGAAGGTCAATTTGTTGTGAAATTTCCTCTTAAACAATCTCCTTTTGTGTTAGGTAACTCTAAAGAAATTGCTATTAAAAGATTTTTGTCATTAGAAAAGAGATTTCTAAATTCTGAGTTTAAAAAATCATATTTTGATTTTATTCATGAATATGAGTCTCTAGGACACATGTCCAAGGTATCTGAAGATTCAATTATTCCAAATTCTATTTCTTGCCTCACCATGGAGTTTTAAAAGACGATAGTCTGACTACCAAATTAAGAGTTGTTTTTGACGGTAGTTGTTCTTCTTCTACAGGATGGTCGCTCAATGATCTTCAGCATATAGGGCCAAAGGTACAGAATGACATTGTTAGTATTTTATTGCGTTTCAGGACTTATGTTTACGTTGTGTCAGCTGATATAGCGAAAATGTATCGCTGTATTCTAATGCACCCTGATCACAGACCACTTCAACAAATTCTTTGGCGTGAAGACTCTAATGAAAATTTCTCCATTTACCAATTGAACACTGTTACTTACGGCACCAGTTCCGCACCTTATTTAGCTATAAAATGTTTGAAGCAATTAGCAATTTTAAATTATGAGCAATTTCCAGAGGCATGTAAAACCATTTTAGAGGACTTCTACGTAGACGATCTTTTGTCAGGGTCCAATTCTCTTCCGGAATTGAATTTAAAATGCCATCAAATATTTTCTATTCTAAAGTCAGCGCAATTTATTTTGAGAAAGTGGGTCTCCAATGATAATAGGGTCATTTCAAATTTAGATGATCATAATATTCCTAATTCAATTTTAAATTTTGGGCCAAAGGAGGGCTTCAAAACATTGGGTATTCAGTGGATTCCAATTTCGGATAATTTATCCTTTAAAATTAAAGAAGTTTCTTCCATCAAAATCCCAATAACTAAGCGAATTATATTATCTACCATTGCACAAATCTATGACCCATTAGGTCTTCTAAGTCCTACTATTGTGATTTCAAAAATTATTATTCAGCGTTTATGGTCATTGAAAATTTCCTGGGACAGCCCTATTCCTTCAGATCTAGAAAGGTCTTTTCATCAATTTCAAAATAATTTAAAGATTTTCAATTCCATCAATATCACACGAAATACTATTCCAAGAAATTTTAGTTTGATTGACATTCATTGTTTTTGTGATGCATCACAAGATGCATATGCATCTGCTGTCTATTTGAGAAGTGCAGACAATTATGGCAATTTTGAAGTTCATTTATTGTGTGCAAAAAGTAAGGTTGCACCTTTGAAAAGTCTCACCATTCCCAAGCTTGAATTATGTGCTAGTTTACTTGGAGCTCAATTAATGGAAGTAGTTAAAAATTCTTTAAATATTCCAAATTCTATTTCTGTTTTTATGTGGTCAGATTCGCAAATATCATTAAGTTGGATCAAATCAGAACCGAGTGTTTTGCAAGTATTTGTTTCAAATAGAGTTGCTAAAATCCAATCATTGACAAATATAAATGACTGGAAAATTGTGAATACCAAACACAATCCTGCTGATCTAGCTTCCCGTGGTATAAATTCAGAGAAATTAATCCATTCAACTCTCTGGTGGACAGGTCCTTTATTTCTTGAAAGTCCCATTTCCCATTGGCTGATTCACGATTACTATCTACCTCAAAATCAATTGCCAGAGTTGAAAAAAACTAACACTATTTTACAAATTATTACTGTTTCATGTTGTGAATTATTCGACAGATTCTCTGATTTACATAAATTAAGACGCATTACAGCTCTTTGTATTCGATTTTATAAAAACTTAAAAAATAAGAGTAGCAATTTTAGAAATCTATTACAAACTGGTCCAATTACTGTTAATGAATTAGAATCAGCAAACCAAGTTTTAATACGTTTAGCTCAAGCTGAATCATTTGTAACAGAACTAAAATTATTATCAAAAAATAAAACTCTAGAAAAAAATCATAAGTTTTCATCCCTTACTCTATTTATTGATAGTCAAGGTATTTTACGTGTGGGTGGTCGTCTGAAAAATACTTATTTACCTTATGATACTAAGCACCCAATTTTACTTTCTTCGAAACATTCATTTACGAAGTTAATTTTTCGAAATAAGCATTTATATTTGTTACATCCGAGTCCACAATTATTACTAGCCTCTATGAGACAATTTTATTGGACTATTGGAGGTCGCAATTTGGCAAGAAAAACTGTAAAAAATTGCATGACCTGCTTTAAATTCAAGCCTACTTCATTAACTTCGCCTATGTCTAGTTTGCCAGATATTCGAATAAATACGTTTGTACTTCCGCATTCCCCACGAGAGCTCCTATGGGTGCTTCGTACCCATGAGAGGTTGCTCATGAGTGCACCTGTCCCAATGCCCCAATGCCTCAATGCCCCAATGCCCCAATGCCCCAATGCCCCAATGCCCCAATGCCCCAATGCCCCAATGCCCCAATGCCCCAATGCCCCAATGCCCCAATGCCCCAATGCCCCCATGTAGTCGGCGCCAGTATAGACACGTATACACAAAATGTTTGAGAAATAAAGAGAAGTATAAGAAAATGTGCAAATATCCCATTATTCAACCGAGTAAAATAAATATTAAATTGTAAATGAAACTGTTAAAGGTGATCTGTGGTTAAAGCATTACAAATTACGACTCACTTATATTGTAATTCCAGGATCCAATAAACAAAAAAAGAAAATTATAGTGACAAAAATTAACTTTTATTTTATCATGACCGTTACTTTTTATTATACATTAAATCTTGACAATATATAATAATTGACTATATACTAAAACAAAAATAATACGAACCATTTATATAATTTATAGCTTATACAAATAATACAAGTGCTTGACCATTATTTCATTTTTTTTGGACTAAAATCTGTTAAACCCATTAGAGAATATTTTATTTAGATAATTATTATAATATAACATTTATTCCCCTGTCATCCATTATGCTTTGTTTCTTCAATTTGTGTATTCCAAGTAAACATTTGACAGGTTTTCCTATAATGTAGAGAATATTTTTAAGATATATATAACAGGATTTTATTTCAAGCATATTTCTATCAAAAATTTCATGTTGTTCGAAGCAAAATATGCCCTTTGTAAAAATTTGATCCCGCTGTTCTTGTGTCACAAACAAATAGGGGATTCGTAACTAAATACGCCTAGGTGACAAATTGAAATTTTCAATGTAAACATGCCTGACATATCGCTGAAATAACTAAATTGGTTAGAAATTAAAAAAAAATTGAATTTGTCCATGATTTAGTTTTCGGCTGGTACGTCGTTGAGAGCGGAAATGTAAGCTGCTGGGCCCTGAAACAAAAGGAAATAATTAAGGTTTGGTGACATTTAGGTTTGACCTTCGTTATTATTGGAAATTTCAAAACGGGAAATGGGAAAAAAACCGACCTTTTTGTTAATGAACTCTAAATTTTTCCATTTAGGTACATCACGTGGATGTTGTAGAAATCCATTTTTTTATAGTAGGAATTATTTTTTGAGCCAATAAATAAAATTTGAGCAGATCACATAATAAAAAACCTTATGGGTGTCAGTAAAAACATAATATGATGCCATTTCGGGTTTTGAAGATCCATAAATAAACGTCCTTAATATAGGTTTTTATTGCAAAAAAATACCATTTTATCTTTCCTGTCTGACATAAAGGTACAAGTATTTACGGTCAAAACGAGACTTCATCTATTTTTGAGTTCAATCTACTTTGATTCTTGCTTATTTGAAAATCCTAGAATCCTAGAAGTTTAATCACAAATCTATCCTTGTCTTTAAACTCTCCCTAGGATTTTTTCAAATGTTGAATCAAGAATTTGAAAAGATTTTCATGTCCTTGGAATTGGAAAGATACCTATCTCATTATTTTTAGAAAATTTTCAATTCTTTAGATTCTTAATTTTTTAAAGTTTTTCTGTGTCTATACTTTGAATCTTTTGAAGTCTCCAGTCTTCCCTCCAAATCTTCGGAAACTTTTTGAAGTTTCCAAATTTTAATTTACTATAATTTCAAGCTATACATAACCTTGAAGCTTTTAGAAATTCTAGAATCTTCAGTCTTTGAAGTTGAGTTTTAGTAATATTTAAGTCATTGAAGGCTTTAGAAACTGTAATCGAATTAATATTGATATTAATTACAATTTTCAGTCTTTCGATTTGTTTGTTGTTTTGTTTTGAAAACTTAGTTCTTAGGAAAATTATCCAGCGAATCAAGATCCAGTAATAATGAATATTTGGACTATGAACAGCTTTTTGAGACGTTCATTGGTTATCGAAATTTGAAATATTTCCGGTTCATGATTGACTATATTTTAGGAGCCAATTATAATCAAAATTCAAACAATTAGTGATTGTTCTTAGGAAAATTATCCAGCGAATCAAGAGCCAGTGATAATAAAAATATGTTTTTAAAATCTCATAGTTCTGAAACATTTCACTGAGATTCGCATAATTCTCTAGTTAAAGTTTCAGTTCTGAAATGACTTTTCTAAATTGCTCTGGAATGGTTAAAAATTAGAGTTTTGTACTACTCTAGTTTAGTTTTGATTCTAATAGAGGTATAGAAAGAGGATTTTGAGGCATTATTGTTCAAATTTCAGCTCTAAGAAAGCGATTATTCAAGAACCTGTAATAGAAATAGTATATTATTACATACCGAGGTGAAAGTGTTTCATTACTGTCGAGAGTCTCGAGACTTGAGACAATAATGAAACTTTTCACCGAGGTATGTATACTATTTTATTTTATTTACAATTATTCGAATTATGTAATTTTTATTTATTAAATATTTTTTCTCCAAACGTCAAAAAAACGTCACTTTGTTAACCCCTGTCAAGATGTCAGAAATTTGAGTTCTATGCTGCCAGGCAAATCCAGCGGGTTAACACCTGTCGAGGTGGTAGAAGTTCAATTTCTATGCTGCTTGGCAATCCCAGCGGTAGCAAAAGTACTTTTAGTGCCGGTCGTACTTTTACTGCCGCTCAACCATTCACTTGCCCCCGAGCTTACCCCATTAGTTTGGAGAAAAAATAGCATGTTGCATACGGAGTAAAAGCACTTTTTTGGGCTTCAGCAGTATTGCAAGCCTCACTACGTTCGGCTCGCAAACCTACTGCTTCAGCACAAAAAAGTAAAGCTTCTACTCCTAATACAACAATATACTATTTTTCAATTTCACTTACTTTCGGCCGAAGGGAGGAAAGTAAACTTTCGACCCGTGGGTGGAAAGTAAATGTCAAAAACTACAATAAATCTAAACAATTTCATTCACTTTCGGAGCACGGGAGGAAAGTAAACTTTCGATCCGTGGGTGGAAAGTAAAAGTCACACTTTTTAAAAGTCAGAAAAGTCAACATTACATGTATGATTGTAAATAATAGTTATTTATGCAACAAGTGTGTAAAGTGAACCTTTTTTCACGAACGTGAATTTTGACGCACGAGCCGAAGGCGAGTGCGACAATCACATGAGTGAAAAAAGGTGCTTTACGCACATATTGCATACAAAATTTTTTCTACTACCAATCAAATAATGTCTAAAAAAATAGATTTAGCCAAATGCTTTACGCACTGGTGCGTGAAGTATTTTCACTTTACGCACTAGTGCGTGAAGTAATTTACCAGAAAAATACTAAATTGACAGTGTTGACATCTGTCATTGACATTACTTCACGCACTAGTGTGTGAAGTGAATTACTTTACGTACTAGTGCGTGAAGTGTTATTTCACGTCTTCTAAATAGTGCGTGAAGTGAGTACTTTACGCACGGTAGTGGAAAAAAGAATTTACTAATTTTCCCTAAATTTCTTCTCTCTATTTCTCATTTCTCTAGTATCAATTTTTCTTTATTCCAGTTTCTTGAATTTCTAATTTTTTCCAAAAGAATGAGGCCCAATTTATCCATATTCAGATAACCTTGCTGGTTACTATCTGAAAGATAAACTTATTGTTCTATAATCCATTGGTAGGCGAATAACTTACCGACAAATGGGATGACAGGTTGCGTTTTTATCCGTCAAATTACATACCTGACAGCTAAACCGACCCTAAAAAACATTTAAGAGCCTGGAATAGAAACAGAATTTACTAATTTTTCTTCGGTATCAATTTTTCCTTATTCCAGGCTCTTGAATTTCTGTTTTATTATAAAAGAATGGGGCTCGATTTACTGCTCTTCAGGTACACTTGCTGGTAACTATCCGAAAGATAAACTCTGTTCTATAATCCATTGGTCGGCGATAACTGGCTGAACAATGGGATTACAGTTTGCGTTTTTATCCGCCAGATTACATACCTGACCTGACAGTTAAACCGACCCTAAGAAACATTCAAGAGCCTGGAATAAAAACAAAATTTACTAATTTTTCTTCCTGTTTCTCATTTCTTCAGTATCAATTTTTCTTTATTCCAGGCTCTTGAATTTCTGTTTTTTTTTTTTATAAAAGAACGAGGTCTGGCTTCCACATCTTTAGGTAATCTTACTGGTAACTATCCGAAACATAAGCTTATTGTTCTATAATCCATTGGTCGGCGGATAACTGGCCGACCAATGAGATTACAGATTGCGTTTTTATCTGTCAAATTACATACCTGACAGTTAAACCGACCCTTAGAAACATTCAAGAGCCTGGAATAGAAACAGAATTTACGAATTTTCTTGAATTTCTTCTCACTGTTTTTCATTTCTTCGGTATCAATTTTTCCTTATTCCAGGCTCTTGAATTTCTGTTTTTTTTTTATAAAAGAACGAGGCCAGATTTACTCCTCTTCAGGTACACTTGCTGGTAACTATCCGAAAGATAAACTCTGTTCTATAATCCATTGGTCGGCGGATAACTACCCGACCAATGGGATTACAGATTACGTTTTTATCCATCAGATTACATACCTGACAGTTAAACCGACTCTAAGAAACATTCAAGAGCCTGGAATAGAAACAGAATTTACTAATTTTTCTTCTTGTTTCTCATTTCTTCAATATCAATTTTTCTTTATTCCAAGCTCTTGAATTTCTGTTTTTTTTATAAAAGAATGAGGTCTGGTTTACTCATCTTTATAGGTAAACTTGCTGGTAACTATCCGAAAGATAAACTTACTGTTCCATAATCCGGTCGACGGATAATTGGCCAACCAATGGGATTACATATTACGTTTTTACCTGTCAAATTACTTACCTGACAGTTAAACCGACCCTAAGAAACATTCAAAAGCCTGGAATAAAAACAGAATTTAATAATTTTTCTTGAATTTATTTCCCATTCAATATCAATTGAATTTTTTTGAGACTCCAACATTCAAAAATGACCTGAATTAGTCAATTTAAGTTTAGAATAGGATTTTTTGGTTCAAATCTCAGCTTTATGAGTGCCGGGAATAGGATTTTGATGATATTTTAGTTCAGTTTCAAGTCTGAGGATCAAATTTATTTTTTCAATCCAAATAGACATATTTTTTGATACTATGTCAACTTCATCATGATAATTAAGAAAGTTCACTTTAATTATTAAGAAATTTTCTAATGAATCTGTTTTTGTATTCGGCATTATTATGAGTTCTTCAAATTCTCTAAAAATCTCAAAAAAATCAAATGTTGAGGCTTGCCAATGGCAAGTTTCCCATTCAATACGTTTCACCTCAAACTTTCAAAATTTCAAATTTGTATATACTCCATTTTTTTCAAGTCAAGTCAAGTTTAGTTACACAAAAATTAGTTTAGATGAGCTAAAAGTGCCTGAAAATCTTCTACATAAAGTATACAAGGTGTCCCTGTTTAACTGGTCAAAAATGCTAGGGTATATATAGAAACCATAGAGAAGTAGTTTGAGATAAGGCACCGATAGTCAGTGGCGTACCATTTTTTCTTCAAAAAATTTAACACACGTGTGCTGCAAGTCCGTTCCTGGACAAATCAAATCAACTGAAATTCCTTAAAAAGTTGCATAATCACCCTATCATTTAAATCCTGAAATTAAGCGTTTTTGATACAGAGGCAAAAATTCGATTTTTTTTTTGTAAAATTTCAACACCCTGTATTTTGGAAACGACGCACTTCCGACCATCGATGTCCTATCTCAAACTACTTCTTATGGTTCCTCTATATACTTTGGCATTTTTGACTAGTTGAACGGGGACACTCTGTATCTATATAAATTAGTGGAAATATACAAGTATACAGTGTGTCCGAAATTCGAATCTCTACATGGGGATTTCGCTTATTATGAGAGATACAGGGTGGCTCAAATTAGAAAAGTTTTAGGGAAATTATTGCTCATTTATATCCTGTTGTTAAATTTGCTTAAAAATTTTCTGTTTCCTAGAAATCCGAGAAAAACTGAAAATAGCCAATTTTGTTTTTTGTCAATAATTCATAAACCGTTAACTTTAGACTTTTCTAACTTTAACATTATCAAGACACTTTTTTGAGACGGATATTTTCGTGATTTAAGAACATTTCGATCGTCGTTTGTTTTCGAGTTATTAACTAAAATTTTCTTATTTCTTATGGCGGCCATCTTAGATTTCAACAAAAAAATATTCTGCGAAAAAAATACTTTAAAATGAAGTATTACAAGCTATGAAAAAGTTTTGCAAGTCCTTCAAAATAGAGTTGGAACCGATTTTTTGCTAAATTTGGCAACATTGCTCATAATTATAAGAATAAAAGCTAATAAGTAATAAGTAATGTCTGTTTTTTTTTTAAGATAAAAGTCAAAATGAAATTATGTTGGCAATACAATGTAAAATTGTCAATGCTTTCAATTTTTTTATGTAGAAAAGGCTTGTGTTTCCACCATAGTTACTAAATTATCTTTATCTTAAAAAAGAAAAACAGACTTTACTTATTACTTATTTGCTTTTATTCTTATAATTATGAGCATTGTTGCCAAATTTAGCAAAATATCGGTTCCAACTGTAATTTTGAAGGACTTGCAAAACGTTTTCATAGCTTGTAATACATCATTTTGAAGGATTTTTTTTTGCAGAATAATAGTTTGTTGAAATCGAAGATGGCCGCCATATAAAATAAGAAAATTTTGGTTAATAACTCGAAAACAAACGACGATCGGAATGTTTTCAAATCACGAAAATATCCGTCTCAAAAAAGTGTCTCAATAATGTTAAAGTTAGAAAAGTCTAAAGTTAACAGTTTATGAATTATTGATAAAAAACAAAATTGGCTATTTTCAGTTTTTCTCGGATTTCTAGGAAACAGAAAACTTTGAAGCAAATTTAACAACAGGATATAAATGAGCAATAAATTCCCTAAAACTTTCCTAATTTGAGCCACCCTGTATCTCTCATAATAAGCGAATCCCCATGTAGAGACTCGAATTTCGGACATACTGTATAAATTTACTTAAAAATCTTTCAATAAAGTATATTTATTTCATTCTAATCCAATGTAATAGACAAGGATATTGACACACAGAGTGTAGCATCCGCGCCAAGTACTCTACTATTTAGGTTAGATGGTAATTTGCGAGCGGTCGTATTTGATGGTAATTATTTTCTTGAGCAACTACTGAAAAATAGAATTGTGGGGGCGGGTCTATTTGCAATGGAAAGAAACAACTGATTTTCTATTGTTATCCGTTAATAATTATAATTCATTAATAAGAAAATAAACAGATTTTCATTTCCTATAACCATGGTACAAATTTTCTAAATCCTAATCCAACACCTTTCAATAGAAAATTGAACAGTCCTAAATTGATGATGCAATAATTAAACCAAAATATCTAACTAATCATTTACTAAAACAAAACAGTCAATTCGATTATTCAAACTCTTCAGTAAAATTCATTTCAATTAACAGTCATTTGAATTAAATTTCTCTATTTATACTAAGTACAAAAATGTGCAAAGTCAATTCTCTCAAGACAATAATATTTATGCAATAAAGTTTCATAGTCAATTCACTTCATAGTCATTTCAATCATTGATCACTGGTCACTAGAGTACTTACATTTAAATTATTGCCCTTAAGTCACCTAATTATTCTTTTGATTATTTAGAGCTCGCACATAATGTTGAACGAATTTAAATATTCTTTCTTTCACAATTTTCCGTTACTTTTTCAAAAGTTCGATTTAACGCGTTTTCCCGAGGCAACAAAATAAAATAAACTCTTCGCGAATTTTATCCGCACTGGCTCATTAGTTACTGCAGACTTAAACTCAAGACTAAACTTGACCTAAAGTGATCTGAACTGAAGACTGACTTAAGACTCGCCCCCTTTTATACTATTATTTACCCACCACAATGGGGACATGCACCATATTTGAATTTCATTGTTTTATTATTTTTAATCAGTTGTATTAACCAAAATAAAAATACCCTTGCTTCCAGTTGGGTTTAAAATGTCCTAATTTTTTTTTTAAATAATTTTCAAAAATGCTGTTTTCATCCCACATATTCAAACGTACTGGAATGGCGCCATTGTGTGACGTATATACACATTCCGACCAATAAGAATCGTTCACAATAGCTCTGGCGCACATCTTATATGCTTACCTTGTCTAAGCTTTGAAGAGTGAGAATGATGAAACTCCTCATTCGTTATTTGCATATTGTTCGCTCAACGTTGGTACTTGTACTTGACGTTAGACAGTGCAACGTTGCCAAACTGAATGTCGTGATTCCTTAATACTAAAATGACGTGGCATAAATCCTTTTTTAACACTAGAAAAACTGCGGTTCTACAACTAAACCTACTAACAATTAAAAAATTACATTAATTTTATAACTGCAGTCCTAAATATACAACAAAAAACTATATAATGCAAGGATAAAAACGAGGTTTCTAGAGGCGATCTTGGAAATCAACAATGACAACGGCAATCTGACAACGCACTTATTTGCAGTATATTTTTGGCGAGTTTTCTGCGGCGTTTGAAATGCTGCTGAATTTATATTTCTTATTAAAAATTAACGACAACTCAAATGTTCCCCAAAATAGTGTTATTAGACTTAGTTTGTGTTCTAGGATTAGAAAAAATAATTAAAAAAAAAAAACACTAAATATCCCCATTGACAATATGGGCAGTCGTTGACCATCTGTAATTCAATCCTATTGGTCGACCTAGATACTATTCCAAAAACTTGCTCATTGGATGATGAAATCTGTGTCGAAATTGTATTATTATTTGGGGTCAACGAAATGAGAAAGAATGTAGATGACACTTGATTCAAGGAAAAGCCGACTCGTGCCGGCAATATATTTCACGATCTTTTGAAATTTCTGTCATTTTGGTACCTAATTTAAGTAGGTACCTAACCTTGTATTTAATCTTTTCGGGGTTTTGATTTATCAGTTCAACTATAACTTGATGACTGGCTATTAAAAATTGAATGCATTTTAAATATTTTAATTAATTTGGGGTCAACGCTAATTTGTCTTATCATTTTCCAGTTTTATTGATACTGATTTGAAATATTAGAGATTCAATTTTTGATTTTTTACTGTTAAGACATTGTAAATTACGGTTCTATTTTTCCCGGGTCATTACAAGAGTAGAAAAATTTCTTACCGGAAATTGAGAATCCATCCTTTTGCCGAACCGTAGACGAAGCTGAGGCGATCGTCCGGCTTTCCGGGACACTGTGTGATATCCAAGCCGGCTGTCTTCCAGACTATTTTCGCGTTCCCTTTGCATCAGCATCTCAACCAATTCCCTGATACCACCTAAGAAAAAATCTGGATTATTACATTGTTTCAAATCTTTTTTAAGAAAATAATAAACTCAAATTGCCCACTTGTGTATTTAAAGTGTTAAAAATTACTTAGTTTTTTATAGGCGAATTTGTTTGTTCTCTATAATTAAACTGATGGCAACGCCAACGGGTGCAGAAATTAAAACGGGGGCCGTTAAAAATAAGACAAACTGTTGCACTTCTAATTTAATTATAAGGAATAGGGGCGCAGCCAATTATCGATGGACAAACAATATACCTACACACAACCCTACCTATTTAATCAAGAATTCAATAATATTCGAATTAATAATATAAACGACTTGAAATAATGGCGATTTCAATTTAAGAGTGCTTACAGTTTTTTGACAGTTGACGTTTAAAGCACTGTTTATCAGTCAATTGTCAAAAGTGCAATCAATTCGAAATCGCCATAAATAAACATAATCTAACATCAAAAAAAAAAATCCAGGATCCTTATTCTTGAGAATGCGTTTTCTATGTCTTTGTCGAGCATATTAATATTTGCATATAACACTGACAAAGACAAAGCAATATCGGTCTCACAAGAACCCTTGTTTCAAGAACAAGTACCCAGAACTACTATCGACAAGATTTTTTGTCTAATTTACAACTTTTGTTACATAAAAATCGATTATAAAATGTGTATTTAATTAATAAGGACAATTATTAGCCCCTCCTTTAATACACATAGTAATTACTAACACGCCATTGAATATTAATATAGCGAGATCAATTCTTTTAAGGAAAATATAGAAAAAAGTTTTCCTTCCTGGGTCACGCAAAACGGTTTGTTTTTTTGTTGTTTGTAATAAACTTTTTGTTGAGTGTTTAAAAGTGGATTTATATTATAAACGCATTTTTTTTTTCTTGATATACATAAAGTTCGTTTCACGAGAGTTTATCCTTTCGACATCGAAGACGTCATAACTTGAAAGAAAAGAAATGACTTCTGGTTTAAGAACCGACGGACGTTTTTGACGTCACTGATTTCTTTCAGTCAATTTCTATTTGTTAAAAAAGGGATGCAAATTATGTCAAAAGTATAAACCCTCGTGAAATAAAGTGTATTTCTTTTTTATCAATACTTACTGTCGTACTCAGAAGCATAAGAAGAGGGCGCCGATGTCACAGTGGCCACAAACAATATGAGACAGACAAAGAGAGCGACTACTCTTATTGCGCTCGTGATGTTCATGATGCTTGACTTATCTACGTTGGTAATGGAGAAATCTGCAATAAAATGTTAATTGTAATTGCAATCAAATATTCAAATTTCCCGCCGTGTGTGTTCGATTGGCAATTGACAAAGGACATTAGTGACATTCGTCTTTCTCTTTGACAGCTGACAGCCTCTTTATAGAAAATTATGTCACATGAAATTTTATGACGTCATCTAGGGATACCTATAAACATAAATGTAAATATCCATTAGGCACCCCAGATGATACATTTGTTTCTCATTACCAGACAACCTAATAACTTTAGGAACCTTTGGTCGGAAACTATAAGAATAAAAATAAAATTCTCTCTGACATTTTAAGAAAGAAAATAAAAATAATTCAAATGTATTCTTCTTATTTGGTGTGGGTTACATTTATTTATACTTACTTACTTCTGAATCTTTTAGGGGTTTCAGAACGTATGGTAATTTTATGTTTGCGATACATACAAGGTGTAGTGGTTTTTGAAATCGAACTTATTTTCTTATTCATTGAATAAGTAATGCCGGTTTCATATTTCATCATTTTAACACTAAGCTGAAAGCTGAAATTTTCAGCGATTCTTATTCTAGTAAAAGACTACAAATCCTGAAAATTTTAGCTCATTTAGATTTATAGTGCATTGAGCAATTTGGGGTAAATTTATCCATTTTTCAATTCTCTGACGTCTTTCTTTCATAGATTTCGGCTTCAAATCTCAATTTTGTATGTAGAGTTACAAGAGTTACAGCAGATACCAAGTCATGCATAGACCATATCTTTGTTAAACAAAACTTAAACAATGCCAATTTAAACCTCTATTCTGCAGTTATAAATAACAATACAACAGATCACTACCCTATATATCTTCAAATCTGCAATAAAACTCAAGATAAACTACAGCTCTTTGAAAAAACTGTCACAAATTTTAACCATTTAAAATTTAAAAATTTTATAACTCAGGAGTCTTGGATTTCTGTTATGGAAAATAATGAAGCAATTACAGCGTGGAACTTATTTTTTAAAACCTTTATAGAAATATTTGATAAGTGCAAAACAACAAAAGTGTTAAAAATTAAAAAGCATGATAAAATCAAACCTTGGATCACAAATGCCATTATAACTTCTATAAAACATCGTGACCAATTAAAGAAAGATCTAATTAAAAATAGGAGCAATAATTTACACATTCAGACATACAAAACATATAGGAATAACCTTAAAAGAATTATAAATGAAGCCAAAGCAAGATATTATCGCGAGATTGTAAATTGTAACAGGAATGACATGAAAAAAATATATAACATAATCAACGAAGCCACAAATGCAAATAAAAATAAAAACAGTGACATTAACATATTAAATAGCAATAGAAAACCATTTGAGAATACAAAACAGATGGCTAACTATTGTAATGATTACTTTACAAAGATAGGACAACAAATGGCGGCCAAAATAATAGCACCTACCAATTACCGTAGCTTCAATGATCGCCGATTCGCTCATAGCATGTTTCTCAGGCCAGTGCAAAAAAATGAACTTATCTTGCATATAGCGTCACTCAAAAACAATTGTTCCCCAGGATTTGACGAAATTAGTACTAAACATATAAAAGATCATCACATACACATTATTAATCCGCTAATGCACATAATAAACTTAATTTTTCTGCAAGGAACTGTTCCAAATGACTTAAAAAAATCTATAGTAGTTCCAATCTATAAATCGGGAAATAAGACTGAAATTAGCAATTTTCGACCAATAAGTCTGATAAGTACTTTTGCCAAATTATTCGAGAAATGCCTCAAAGACAGACTATTGGATGAAAATCAGTTTGGATTCCAAAGAGGTGTTAGCACAAGTCATGCTATATTTAGACTTGTTGACTCTATTAAATCTGACCTGGACAAAAACAAAAAATGCCTAGGTGTCTTTTTGGATCTGGCAAAGGCTTTCGACACTGTGCCTCACAAAAGACTGCTAGAAGTGCTTGAGCACTGCGGGGTGAGGGGCACTGTTTTGGACGTCTTTCGTGGCTATTTGAGAGAAAGAACACAACAGGTTAGAATAAACAACATTATGAGCGACTATCAAACGATCCATTTAGGCATCCCTCAGGCTACTGTCCTAGGTCCGCTCCTATTCGTCATCTATATCAATTCATTACTGAGCAATAAAATTCAAGGCCTAATTATATCATATGCGGATGATACAGTTTTGGTATTTAGCGATGATACTTGGGAAGGAGTAAAAAATAAAGCAGAACTTGGCATTGGAATGGTAAAAGACTGGCTAGACTTCAACGAATTAACCCTTAATATAGATAAATCAAAATACATCGCATTTTCTCTTACTGATGTCAACAGACCAAATTTCAACTTTTTACTACTGCCAAGAGCAGGACTCAAAATTAATGAAGTTAGCAACATTAAATACTTGGGTGTCATAGTTCATAAAAATTTGAAATGGTCTAATCATGTTAATAGTTTGGTTGTTAAAACGAGAAGACTAATTTTCAAGTTTTATGAGCTTCGTAAATTTATGAACAAAAAACTACCTATATCTATCTATAAAGCTTTGGTTGAGTCTATTCTACAGTATGCTATAATTGTGTGGGGTGGTCTGTACATAAGCTCCCTCGAACCTCTGAATGTTGTACAGAATTATATTTTGAAAGTCATATTTCAAAAAGAAAAACGATTTCCTACCGAACAGCTTTACGACGACAAAATACTTAACATTAGAATGTTATATTTTTATAACATTTGTCTTTTTCTGCACAAAAACAAGGACTTACAAACAAAAGTTGACCATACATACCAAACTAGACAAATATCCAATCAGAACTTAATTGTTCCTTTTAACAGAAAAGATGGTAACCAGAGATTTATTGCGCGAAGCGTCGAGATTGACTATTAATCTCGAGACAGAAATGAAAACTTTCCTCCGAGGTTTGTATACTATTTTATTTGCAAGCACATAATTAAATATGATTAGTGAATCCATTTTTTTAATATTAAAAAAATAAAACAAGCATGCCAAAATGTGTCATTCACTGCTTTGACGTTTTTACCTGACATGTTCTCATTGTTGCCAGCAAAGGTAAATAAATTAGAGTGAGGGAAGTCGAATAGGGAAATCGGTGAGGGAAATCGAAGAGGGAAGTGACACAGGTAAAGTGTCACTTCCAAATTTTTAAAAAGTCAGTAATGACAATATTACATATATGATTGCAAATTATGATTATTTACAACCGCATAGGTAATGTTGACATTTCTGACTTTTCAAAATTTTGAAAGTGACACTTTTTTGAATTTTACTTTCCACCCGGGTGGAAAGTAAGTCCTATTTTCCTAAAATGTTGAAGACCAGTTCTACATGTCAAACGTTTTTTTAGATAAGTCAGAACTTGTCTATAAAATTTTTTAATTTTTTAAAAATATTTAGTCAAAATTGTAATGGTTGTAATTGTTGTAAATAAAATAGTATACAAACCTCGATAGGAAGTTTCATTCCTGTCTCGAGATTATAGTTAACTTCGACGCTTCGCATCTCAGTTAACTAACTAATCTCTCGACAGTAATGAAACACTTCCCACCTCGGTATGTAATATACTATTACTCCACGTACCTACATTATATTATAAAAAGCTAATTTAACCCCTTAGATTTTTGCACATACAGATTGCTTGTAATCTAGGTGCAATAACTTATTTGAGTAGCTCAAATTGTAATGTGATATTTATTTAACTTATTGTAAACCTATTGTTATTTCTCTGAATAAATTTATTTATTTATTATTTATTTATTTAGAGTTTGGGGAGCACCAAAGGACCATTAAGACACCAAATCTCAACGAGAAAAATTTTGAAATTTCATCGTTTTAGTTCTGGGGAGAACTTTGAGAAATCATAACTTTTTTTCTATCGTAGATAAAAAGCTGAAATTCTCAGCGATTCTTACTCCAGTAGAGGACTACAATCCCTGAAAATTTCAGCTCATTTGCACTTATAGTTCCTGAGATAAAATCGTGTAAGCAAATTGGGGTGATTTATCAATTTTTCAATTTTTCTGAGTGCCTTTTTCCATAAATTTCGGCTTCAAATCTGAGAATAATTTAGTGAATGGAGTTTGGGGGATATTAATTGACCATTAGGATACAAAATCTCAACAAAAAAAATTTAACATAACTTTTTTTCTATTATACTCATCAGTATGGCTAGGAAAAGCAAAGAAAACCAAACCAAGAACAGTGTTGCCAGACTCTAAATATGAAAGTGTGGTACACAATGCTCAAAAACTGTCGTACAGGGACGTACGCGCCACAAATACTTGTGGTACACATTACTTTACATTTTTAGCAGGTATATGATTTTTTGAGAGCGCAAAATGTTGAAAACTTGAAAATAGACCTTGCATTAAAAATTACAGCAACGGGAGTGTCCGGAAATCAAATAAAACTATTTAATAAATTTACTAAAGTCATCTCGATTAAAATACTTTGTGGATAATAAGTCAAATTGGAAATAGATTCTTTTGTAACGTTGACAATAATTGCTAACTTAATATGAAAATTCCTGACAAGAAAATTTCTATCGGGATAATCCTCGAACATTGATAAATGCTCAACTTTCTCAAGCTTATAAGGCAATTTTTTGCAAGGATAATCAAGCATAATCTGATTATGCTGGGTTATTTGATGTGTCAATTGTGTCATACTCCCCTATAACTCCCTCCCCATGAACTTTTGGGCCTGCGAGTGACGTCACTATCAACAGATTATAATGATGACGTCACCCGCAGACCTCGATGGAATGCTCGCGATTCAGGCTGTGCTATGAGTTAATTTTTTCGTCGATTTTGAATACAGAAAAAATGATTTTCGGTCTGTTCTCACAGAAGAAATTAGGTGTTCTTGGTCCCCGACGGAGTAAGGCGAGTATGACATAATTGACACATCACATAATCCAGCAAAATCGATTATGCTTGATTATTCTCGCGAAAAATTGCCTTATAGACTGTTTCCAAGCAA